CCTGTTGCAAAGGCGGCTTGCTTACTTCTATGATTTGAATGGGCACCCCCTCGTCGGACATAAATCCCAGGCACCAACAGGATCATACCAGACGCAAGGGCCCAAAAGGGGCCCCCGCACCGATCGAATTGTCCGCCGCTTGACACCCTTTGGATCGCGGCGCGAAACGCGCTTTCGCTTTCGCCGATTTGGCGCAGGGCCAGAATGTCGAGTTCGAGCAGTGGGGCGAAAAGATCGTGAACGTCGTGGTGGGCCCGGCACTTTAATTAAGAGCTTTCTCCAGGTGCAGACATTGTCACATCCGTGCAGGTTTGTTTCCTCCGGAGTGTTTTGAGCAGCCGTGATTTGGTCGGATTAATACGTGGCTCTCTCTCCCTCTCCCTCTCTCTCTCCGACCTTGCCTCTCGCCGACGTTATCAACTTGTGCAAATCCATTAAGCTCTCCAATGCCTCCAAGCTGTGTTGGAACATGTCATAAGTTTGAAGGCTACGTCGAGCATTCTCAGCCAGGTGTACAAAGCCGACCGCTTGATGACAAATCTCACCTGCCCCTTTGTCATTGCAGCCCCCCAAAAAGAAAGAAGCACACGTTGAGCGCAGTTGGCCCAATCATTGCCAGTTTCCTGATGACATCATCATGGAGATCACAGATATCAAGCAGTCCAAAGACAACGGCCGGGATCTCGCCTCAGCTTCGGGCCAAACAAGTTGGGATTTTGGGATCCGGTTCGGGCTGGAACCAATGCCAGGCAATAGAGCCGGAAACTGTGCGCCAGCCAGTCTTGTTGGGGTTGTATTTTGAGGCTGGCCCTTGTTGGGGTTAGGGAAACCACAACAAAGTCACGCAAACTTGAGTGGTGTACATCCCTAGCCTGACACATAGTGCTTCTTGTGTAGGGAAATGGTCGGATCGATCAGTCGCACCTCGGAGGGTCAAGTGCAGCTTTCTCCCAAACACATGGCACAGCCACAAAACCCTCATGGGTCAGGTATTTCCTACATGGAGTGTTGGTCTTGAATGCCACCTGGACATGTGCGAATGGAACATTGGCTTTGGTTTGGGTGGTTCGTGTATCTGAGGATCAAATCGTGGTGTTGTCGAACGGGATCTCGAAGCAGGCGCCGGCATACCTCCAGGCGCCGATTTTTTTGGGGGGTTTCGCGTGCATCCCTTTTCGCGTCAACTAGGGATGCCTCTACTACTGTGGATGGACGAAATTAATTTCGTACCACCTAAGAGACCGTGGGAAACCGTTGTTTGTTGGCATTGGGAGGAGAATCATTATTCCAAGGTCTCTTAGGTGGAGCGAAATGGATTTCGTCCATCCACAGTATCAAAAACTGGATTTTGGTTTTCCGTGCGGTTTTTCTTTTGGCCTTTCGGATTTTTTTGGGCGCGCCACAGAATTCCCCGGGTTCGGTGCCCCAGCGAAAAGCACAGGTGGGTGACAAGGTGAGCATCGACAAGAAGAACTTTGAGATCACCAAGCGTGTGTGAGCAAACCGTTGTGGCCGATGCGTCGGGTTACGGTTTTACGGCGCCAACATGTTGTGGCCTTCAGAGATTCGTTGGTGCCATTTTGCCAAGGGATGTTAGATGATGTTAGGACTGAACAGCTTTTTATGCAAACTAGTGGGTTTTCCTAATTAAACCACCAAAAGTTAAAACCGTTTAGCAGGGGAGCAGAAAGCAACCGAGGACTGTTTTGTCAGAGGTTCTTCCATGTCCTTTTGGGGGATTGAACCATCCCTTTTACGGCCATGTTGAGATGAGGCGTTTGTTCGTGCAGTGATGCTTAAACGGGACATATTGCAAGACCCTTCATTGGTAAGCACAAGGCTTCACAAACTAGGTCCCGCAGTAGTGCCCCTTTATCTTTTTTTGGGGGAGGGTTCCCCTACTAAACTAGACTACAGAAAAAAATCGGGTACCCTTATTCTAACCTCTCAAATCTGGAGCACCTCGCAAAGCTTCAAGCTGGGAAGCTTGTATGAGAGAAAGCCAGTGCATGAGCCGCCTGTGGCCCGACGGCCCGGGGGCCATGCTGACATAGGTTATGTTTTTTTTTCGTTTCCACGGGCGCACCTGCTTCGGGCCAACTGGAGGCTGGAAAGAAATAGGTTTCTTTGGGCCTGGGGCTACCAGTGGGGCACACCTTGACGAAGTTGTCCTAATCCCTTGGCGTACACCTTGTAGATTGTGAAAATGGGTCAAATGGGGGGGATCGCAGAGAAGGGTCTGTTTGGATTGACATCCTGTCAGAGTTTGTCAGCCCCTTGTCTCAGAGACGGGACATTGTCAATCGGTTTTGAGTGAAGAGGCGATAGTTGCAACATTAGCGTGGAGCCTACGAGAGGTATTGATCACAATGGAAAAGCACACACACACACATTTAACACTGGTTGGCGTATGTAATTCTCTATGTAGATGATGACCATCTTCAACCTTTCAGATCTCAGTGCCGTTTCAGTCGCAGGTTGTCCCAAGCGATTTTGTGCCACACACCGTGCCTTTTCCGCGCCCTTGCGTCACTCTGGGGGCGCTTAGCATCTGCCAGAGCTGTCTGCGAAAAGGTCGCGCGATAAGCGAGGCTCATTGGGTGGAAACAGCGATGTGTTATTGGTATTGTGGATGATGGATATCTGTTCGCACCACTTTGAAAGCATGGTTTGTTGGTATTTGGAAGATACAACATGATGCAACTGTTCACAGCGAACCAATTTCTATAATATGTTGGTAGATTAAACCTCTTTGGGCGACAAGACTTGAGGATCAGGGTGTGGGGAGTGGCTTCACAGAGCCTCATGAATCCGATCAAGCCATTCCTGGATCAGAACGGCTTTTTCTCAGCGGAACCCTTCCCTGTGGCTTTCCGCGGGTTTGGTGGTTTCCCTAAATGGGCAGTTGTCAAAAAAAAGTACGCAAACTGGAACGCTGGTAAATGAAAGGGACGAACACCTGCCATAAGACCTGGATCAATTTTGACCCATCAGAAGTCTTGGGTGGTGTTCAGCGCCTTTTGGTTGCAACAGTTCGCGTGGCAGAAGTTTGGTCAATTTTTGAAGTAGTTCATGGTTCATGTGGGAGGGGTACCAACTCCAAAAAACGGCACGCGTGTGTCAGAACCCATTCAAGGGGTCACCCATTTGTAGGTCAATAAATGTCCAAAGGTCAACTCCTTCCGCTGAAACGCGGGAAGGCTTCTGTGGGAGCCTACGCCGACAATGATGATGTGGCCGGCGGCCCATACGATTTCGACATGGCACCGGGTCCAAAAAGCAACATCTTGCTGGTTCCCAGCCATATAGTTCCTCAGGTTTCAGGGTTTTTTAAGGGTTTAGTTGGCCCTCCCCTTAGCGTTGTAGGTTTTAGTTGCCTTTTAGGGGGTTTCCATTTTTTCCCACATGTTAAACTGTTAGGGATTTGGCAGCCCAGGTGACCTGATAATGGGTGAGGCTTACAACGAGAATTTGCCAAGCATTTTGTGAGGTGTTCAGTTTGAAAACGCCTTCCTTCCAGGTTGAAGGATGCGTTTGAACAAGGCTTCCACACTCGATGGGGAAGCCTGTCAAGTGATGCGTCTTCTTGAACGAGCCTCCACAACGCTTCTTTGATTAAGGAAACTCCTCTCAGGACAATGACCCCCTTTTTTGACTTTTCATGTTAATGTGCAAAAGAGTATCTATTGAGATAGCAAGCTTCCCTTGTTCGATTGGCTTCCTCACCATTTTGGCAGTTAAAGATCCAACACATGGCCCGAAAAGCCCAGGTTTGCATGCCACGTGGGTTCCGATTTGCCATTGTCAACCAATGAAGGAAACAACTTCCTTCCGCCGTTGGATCCTTGCAGAAAATTGCCCAGAGCTGCAGACATGTTTGATGGTGCCACCTGTTTGGCTTGTTCAGCGCGCAAGCCCTGTTACTTGAGGGCTTGCGCCTCAACACTCGACCTTCAGACTCCAGGACTTCTTTACAATCTCGTCAAGCATAGCGACCTCAGCTGGAGGGCTTGCGGCCCCACCCATTAAGGAGCCTGTCTTGAGTAGCCCATATGCTCAATGAATTGGTCTTCTTCATCCCAGATGTCTCCAAGGCACAAGGATAGGCCAAACCTTAGGACCTTGGATCTTGCCGTGAGAGCAAGTCCAACTGGATGGTGTCATGGCACAGAGGGCAGCCCTGTTTGACAAAATCTTGGATTCAAGTTGCCTAGCCAGGAGTCAGGCTATGCCCGGTATGCCCCGCGAGAATGGCTGATAAAGAACTTTCCAAGAGCCCCCGGTTCTTTGAGCCCTTGCAAGAAACAGAACTTTCGAGGATTTTTTTCGGTTCTTCGAACCCTTGTAAGAACTTCCCTTCCAAGACGGTCCTCAGAACTTTCTCCGAGTGGCTAACGTTTCTCCTCAGCGCTCTGCCGCCTGAGGAAAGCTTCAGCTGAGGCCATTACGAGTTCCATGGCTTTGCCTCAAAGCGACCATTGGCTTCTTGTTTGTTCTTCTTCTTCCATTTGGTTACAACTATTTGTTATTTCCCCTGTTGGTTTTAAAGGAATCTATCACTACTGGAAGTATTTCTTTTTTTTCCAGCGGACTTAAGCAAATATTCGACTTGTGCCGGCAACAGGCCGGATGTTGGATGGCAGTCGCAGCCGCTGGTTTCACCCGCGTCAAGCGCGCGGTCCGCCAACCCGGGATAAGAACTCGTGCTCTCCGAGCACGAGTTCAGATACGTCGGGCGTGTGCTGCAGTCAAAAGGGAGCCACCGTCAAGTCAAAGCCCCTGATTTGGGGCAAGGCTGGTTAATTTGTCTCTCAGGTGAGTTTTTACCAGCCAGTCCAGCTTTCTCGCTCTCCATCCCATGTTCGGTCAAATAATCTAATACCAAGTGGTTTGTGGATCGGAGACATTGGTTAGCCTCGCCAACTTGGGGACTGCATCCCCCGGTGCTTTGCGACCGCCGCGTATAGCGCAGCGCGTTCCCTCGTTGATTCTACTTGCATCTGGCTCAGGGCACCTTTGCGAATCCCAAACAACTCCTCCGCTCCCAGTCGCGTTTTCGAGCCTCGGCCGCAAGCAGTGGCAGTCTGCCACGGAAGATGATCGCGAGTTTCTGAATCCCTTCCATGTGCTTCATATTTGTTTTATGGTTTCCTCTGTTTGTTTAAAGGGGAGTCTGTCACTACCAGACATATTGTTGTTGTGTTTTTTGGTCCAGGTTGCTTAAATTAAATGGAAGACCCTGTTTGAAGGATCACAGTCGAACCCAAACAAATCTGGAAGAATTGTTGGAAAGGACACTATTATCATAGTATCGGTATTGGGGCAGACCCCTATAGTTCTTGTTGGGCAATCTTCCATTTAGTTAAGAAAGTTGTCTTAATTTACCCCTTTTGGTTTTGAAGGGAATTTATCACTTCTGGATATATTTTTGTTTTAAAACTATATGTATTTTTCAGGGGACGCATCCGCAAATGGTAATATTCTTCCAACGATCATACTATGTTGGAGGCGCTTTCAGCTGCACCGACTCTCAGGAGATGGCGCGCGGAATCATCAAGCACCTGAAGCGCATGTATGCCCGTCGCCTGCAATGTGTCGAAACAGGGATTTGGACTTCCAAACTGGGTGAGTTTCCTTGTGGTTCCCTATGAAACGAAGGCGAAAAGGCTGCCCTAAAACACAGACACGCCTATTTAAATTAGACCTATTATTTGGAGGGGGTCCCTATCAGTAAAAAAATCGAAGCGGTACAATGAAACGTGCCATTTGGGCACACATGGATGGCCAGCGTAATCCCAAGATGATTATCTGGAACAGTATACTCTCCAGCAGTTTCAATATACATGTAGCACATATCTTCAGTTCTAGAATTACCGGGATGGCAAAAGATGTCCAATGATGGTTTGCTGATGTTTGGTTGTTGCAATCGTCGGGTTATCAAAGTCAGTTTCCCTTTGATTTCCCCCTCAAGGGTGACTCCGGGAAAATGGGTATGGATCAAAATTAAACCACCAGGATAAGCGCCGCAGGTTGTACTCCATGTTTCCACTTACCGATCGGGCGGCCCATTTTGGGTATTCCAATTTTTGACGACCGCACCCATATGGCTTGCCTGTTCCGCTTTTTGTTGCCAATTGCGCTCGACAGGCGCCCAAGCACTGGATGCTCGACAAGCTGCGAGGGCGATGGGTGCGGAGCTTAGGGTGCCAAGGGCTGACCTTTGAGGCAGCAGCCTTTGTGGGGGACCCCCCATTTCCTGGTTGAGATAAGGGCAACCAGGACGAATCCTAGCCATTCTGGGGGTTTCGCCTATTTTGAGATCCACGCACATGCGTTTGTTCAAAGGACAACACTTCTTTGCATGACTTCTTTGGCCGGCTGCTTCCCCCAACAAACGCCGCAAGTAACGGTTCATTGCCCAATTAAATACGTAGGGGTTCATAAATGTGGTTTTATGCAGCCCGCCTTTGCCAGGTGTGCCCTTTTTTCCCCGCCAAGGGTGGTGAGGTATGACCCGGGAAGCAAGGCTGGTGGCGCAGAACATCTCTCCCAGCCTTTTGTGTAGGTCGAACGCTGGAACAAACCATGAACCACTGCCAAATTGCTTTGTTGGTTTCCCCCACGCAGGTTTGGACTTAAAACACTGCCACACTTCCACGGCATAGGCGAACAAAGCCTCGGCGTCCTGTCCCTGGGTACAAACTCAATCATATTTGATGAGTAATGTTTTAATAGAAACCAGGGGCGTTGAGGTTGTTTTAGGAATTATGACGATTTGTTTACCCAGGGGCCTGTATGTTTATCTTAGATATGTTTCCCTAGTTCTCCATGTGTCATAGTTTGTTTATTCCAAGGTCAGCCAATCAGCGGAAAAAAAATCGGATGCCCATGGCTGAGGCGCCCAAGCCCAACGCGGGTCCTCACAAGCTCCGGGAGTGCCTTCCCTTGATCGCGGCTCGGCGATAACACGTAAGAGTGGGGGGTGAACCAAGCAGCCAACAAGGAAAACCAGCAGGAACACCCAGAGCCAAACCCGGAAAACCTGGAAACCTTCTTTTTGTGTTTGTATTTTTCCGTGGCTTGCGTTTTGGACGTTTTTGTTGGCCCTTAGGATTCTAAAGACAAAGTACAGCACAACCAACTTCTTGGATGGGTTCAAACACAAAAGTTGGAAAGCCAACTTGTCGAGACGGATTCAAGCGAAGTGCGACATTGAAGTATATCCTTATGTTTTTGGTGAATGAACATCATCATTTGGGTATGTCTTTCTTAGGGCAACCGAAAGGCGAACCGCCATTTGCGCCCCGATCCAACACATTGATCTAGAGTTCTGAGATCTAGTGCTTCCAGTTGCCACTATCATAGCAGGTAACCAGGGAAACCATCATGTAACACATTGTTAAGGATTCCTGGTTACCTGTTATAGGGGTAACTGGACTCACTGAGTTTGGTCGCATCTCAAGTTCCTCTTTTCTGTGTTGGTGTGCGGGAGCCGCCGACACATATTCGAGCCCGCTGGCCGTTTTGGTGAAGCTTCTAGTTCTACTTTTTGGTTTTGTGGGGAATTGTAGCCAGGCCTGTAGAGCCTTTGTCAGGCTTTTGGTGCCACAGGTCAATACGGGTTTTGGGGTTGTTCACTCTAGCCATGGTCAACACTCCCTTTCCCTCGGAGCAAAGAGGGATGGGTATCATCAAGCCTTCAAAGCTTTTGGGCAGCCGGAAAGGTTCGTGAGCATGGTAGGAACTGTGGCCCTCCATGTGTCATGGTCAAAGCCCACTTGGGCTTGAGGAAAGCTATTACCATGAACCTAAGGAGTTTAACCACACATGTGGGTATAAAGCAAAATTCAGCCACCAGGATATGGACCGCATGTTTTAGTCCTTGTTTCCACTTACCAAGTCGCCATGTTGGGTATTCCTTTTTTGACAACCCCATCTCCAAGTGAGTGGCTTCTTAGATCCATGTTGGTTTCCTTTTCATTGGAGAGACTCGGATTTTCATTGGACCTTAAAAGGGCCCTTTTCATTGCCAGGCTAAACTAGACGCTTTGCCCAGCTTTTGGTTCGCTCCGTGTTCCTTCAACAAGCAACATCAACTTGTTCAAGGCGTCTAATTCGAGCCCTTCAACGCGTGAAACGCTCCGAGCGATGGCCTTTTCAAATTCGGCGAATTGATCACATCTCATGCCATGTTTTAAGTCGGAATCTCCCAAACGACCTTACGGCTCACTGATTTCCCGCCCCAGGTCGGCGAGCCAGATTTCTTTCCATTGTGGATTTCTATTCCGAGTGGGTTGTGTCAAGGGCTACCCCAGAAATGAAGCTGGCCCTTTGAGTTTCCTTAACACAGCTTGAGAAAATGGTACCGAGCCGCAACAAAACCTACCCAAGCGTGGGGACACCCGGATGTTTTTAGTTTGGCAAGAGAGCCCAAACAAGTTCCCTTTTTCAACACGTGGGTGTGGTGCTTCTCCTTTTGGCTTCCCGTTTAGGTCAGCCGTGAATCATCTTACCCTGGATTGGATTGGAGCTGCTTTGGGTTGAACCCAGAGTTGCATCAATCGGGGTTGCCCACTCCTGTGATACTTTAGGGAATCTCCCCCTTGTGATGGGTTAGTCTTAAGCCTTTTTGTTGCATCACAGAAGTGGATTCCATTTCAACCACAGCCTGCTTAAGAACTGTTTTTCTTTTTTTTGTTGCGTTGGTCTTAAAGGGAATCTATCGCTACTGGACAAATGGCTGTGGATCAAAACCAATGGTACCATTTCGGGGGTGCATCCATCTTAGTCTATGTTAGTGGTTGGATTGAATCGGATGTTCTTCTAAAGCGTACGCTTTGGATTGTGACCCATGGCCACCTGTTTCTCCATTTTGGCCTTCGGCTTCCCTTTTTTGCACCAAGCCGGGGTCCGAGCCAAGCCGAGAACGATGCGCCCAAGGTGATGCTGCGCCAGCGCCTGAAGTACGCCCGGGCGCCATTCGAAACCCAACGGAGCGGCTGAAAAGCTGCTAATTATTGGGCAACGGATCTTTAGACTCTTAGACTTTGGGTTGAAATCCAGGGGGGTTCCCACTAAAGTTTACCCAAATCCGAAAAAGAGGTCGCCCGAATCCAAAAAACAAGTGTTGGTTTTTGTTTTTTCCCCTTGACCACTTAATAGCTGAGAAACCCACAAGTTAAAAGCTTTTTGCAGAGGGGTCAGCAACCAAGTTGCGGAGTCGAGCCGCCGGACTGGAGTCGAGATGCCAAGTTTTTGGTCTGGAGGTCGCTGGTTTTTCCTAAAGACTAACCTGAAATATCTGAATACAGCAACAGAAGGGCCATGGAGCGCCGAAATAAGGAGCAATTGAACACATCTACGCTTGGTGCGTCCGAATTCGAGCCAAGCAACCGGTTGGCGTTTCGAGGGGAGCAAAAACGCGCGCTCTCTTGAGCGGTGTCCAGAGGGTCCCTTGGCTTCTCAAGTTCCTTAGGTAAGCCACCATCTAGAAGCTAGAGGGCCTTTGGTTTAGGCCAAATGCGGCCCATCTTAGCAACCCTGCTGACGCCCGGTCCGTGCTTCGCCTTTAGGGAGATTCATGTTTGCCATGGACATGTGTGCTTATGATGTACGCAGATGAGTGGATTGCATTTCTTTCGGTGTGGCAAGATCAACAAGTGATGAGCACGCTATTCATGGGCAAGTCGAGGCCTCAATTGCCAGGAGATGTTGTTCTTGTGATTGTTGGTATTGCCTCACAAACAACTGCAATTTACAGGATTTCGGGGTTGGTCCATGTTGCTTTCTGGTCGGGCGTGCAGGTTTGGCACAAAGGGTTGCATGGCCGGCGGAAAACACAGCTGGGACGGTCGGACTGACTCCGCTCAGGTTTTGTTGGTGGTTTCGAGCAGGTGCACCGCCTTTCACAATAAGAACAGATGCCTTTTTCTTGAATGCATCTTTCGTCTACCCATAGCCTTCCATTTGCTTCCCTATTGGCTTCAAAGATGACCCTAGCAAGTCGTTGACTAGTGGCATGATGGGTCGAGTCATTGGCCCCTGAAGTTGATTTTGCCCCCCCCCCCCCAAATGCCAAAGGTAAACTGGCTGATGTATGAATTAATGTGCTTGCATGGTAAAGGTTAAAAAATAAACATTAAACTTAACTTCGATATGTATGTATGTATTATCAATCAATCACGATATATTTGACACCTATAGTATCTTATACTTGAAGACTACAATATGGACAAAATCGGCGAAACGCGAAACACCCAAGCCATCTTTGGCTTCTTTCCGTCCTAACAGCTCCCAAGCCTCACTTTCCGGCTCACGGGCTCAGGCCTTGACGTACCGCGAGGTGAAGATGATCGTAATGCAGCGCCTGATCAAGGTGGCACCTCACCTGAGATTCGATCGGGACCCACTGGGCCATCCGGGCTTCCATCCGGCCGTCCAGTTCCTGCGGGCTCATTTTTTCGGATTTCGTGGCAGTTCCAGGCCACTGAAAGTCAGTTTTGACGTGAGGTGTAGTGGTTTCTACTAAATCACTGAAAGTTAGAGACTCTGAGCGGGGGATTCCGGTCGGTAATGGCATGGGTTTCCTTTTGGCTTCCCGCTAAACAACACCAAACAGGGTCATCACCCTTAAGACGCAAACGCAGACTATGCAATCACTCTTTTCCCAGCCTAAACCTGCCAGCTCACCAAGGATGGCAAGGTGCGCACCGACATGTTCTACCCTGCCGGCTTCATGGACGTTGTCCAGATCGAGAAGACCAAGGCGCGTTTCGAACATCATCTGACAGACCATGCATTTCGGGTAACCCTAAATTTGTTTCTACCAAATGGGTTTGTTACCCCCAGGGTCTGCGTGAAAATTTGCAAAGATGTGGATTCAGTGCCTTAAATCACTTCCTTGGCATATTGCGCCGCCCCATTTGGGGCGGTTTCGTCAGGAGAACTTCCGGCTGCTGTACAACACTAAGGGCCGCTTCAAGCTCCATAAGGCGGCGCTCGCTGGGCGTTTCCGGATGTGTGGGTCTGGATATCTAGTCCGTGGTGGTGGTGGTGGTGGTGGTGGTATGAGCAGGGCCTTCCTCGTGTCGGAGATAGGCCGCCTGCAATGCACCACACACATTACCATTTGAACTGATTGCGACCTGATTTTTGGAAGTTTAGACAAATGTAGGATTGAAGGTTGCTTGTCAATCCTTGCGGCAGATGGTACTCTTTTTTCTTGTAGTGGTATCATGTGGTATCCCATTGCAGATCCCTCGATGTTGAACAACCCCAACTTGCAGTTTGGGTGATGGGAGTGTGTTTCCTGCGGCTTTTGAGCTTTGGCAAATGGGAAACCATTCAAATGAGCTTCCCCGTTTACAAGTGGCACGCATTTCAGAATTTATGAGAAACGGAGGCACCCCCAAAATCGGGGCTTTCCTTTTGGTTTCCATCTAAACCGCGCGTGACAAGAGACATATAAGGGGCCAGTGACAGCGACTGAGCCACTGGTTTGAAACACCCCAAACCACCACTTGGTGGTGCCATCCCCTTAGCTTTTTAGCCTAGTGTTTAGTGGTAGTTTCAATTTTAACCCACTAAAAGTTAGTCACTTTTCGCGGATCTGAGCCCAGACTCCCAGACCATTCGAATTCTTCGGCTCCCCAAAAGGAGCATCAAACCAGTCTCGCGCGAGGTCACCAAGGAGGAGGGCAACTACAAGCTCTGCCGCGTGAAGAAGGTGACGCGAGGCACCAGAAAAACCGGGACCACCAAGCACGAAGACGTGGGAGCTGGGAATGAAACATGCCCGGTTCCCTCTTTCAAGACCAGGTGCCCCTTACCCCCCGGCACGATTCGAAGAGCTGGGAGAAAATGATGCCGGTCTTTCAAGACCAGCCTTTTTTCTTTTCCCCGGCCCTGTATCGCCCTGTGAAAATGGGGAAACTCGCCCTAAACCAAAACTGGACGGGTGACCTGAAGTCAGGGAACTTCAGCTGAAACGTCTCCCAAAAAAATTCGACCTTCGATCCCACCTCTGAGCTTGAATCCGGGAACTCGAGGCAAACATCCGCCACGGACTTCCGCGAGCGTTTTTTTTTTTTTTCTGATCCGGAAAAAAAAAAAAACGCGGGAGCCGGCGAAGGCCATGGTGAAGACTGTTGGAGTTGGGGGGGTCCATGTCTTTTTCCCAGGGTTTGAACGTGTCGTAAGACATGAATAGTGCGCACTATAGATATAGTGGTATTGAAAAGCACTGTCCAGGGGTTGTGTAGTGTTGGATGTGTTTGGTCCACGTTCAATATTTGGGGGGCATCCTCAGAGAATCCCTTGCTGCCTTCTAAGGTGTACTTGAGGGGCTCGGTACATCCTCAGGTACCAAGAGACCCTTTGGGTACTGGTGGCAAACCTCGCTGGGCTGTCATTGATTCCTCAGCTGCCGTAACTTGTTTGACCCGGCTTCGGGTCATTTTGGTGCGAAATGTTGGCTTATGACTGTTTTTGTCTTTTTGTTTATTTACGACTTTGACACTTCGCACATTTCACAATTCGCTCTCATCTCCCATGTGTAGAATCATCTCTAACTCTTTTCGGGCGCACTTTCAGAGGAAGGGTTGCCTTTTGTTTACCAAGGTCACTGACCAGAAAAGGTTCTCCAAGCCCATGTAACCCACACAATTGGGGGAGTTGTCCATGGCTCCCATGGCTTTCTCCGGGATTTTTATGGCTTCTCCATGGTTTTCCTGGCTTTCACAACGGTGTCCACGGCTTTTCCGGGTTTGAAACCCATTGGTTTTCCCGGTTTTTCACGGTCGCCGCGGTTTTTTCCTGGGTTTTTCCACGGCTTGAGCGAGGCCTGCGGGGCGTGCCGTACGCGGTGACCCACGACGGCCGCACCTTGCGGTACCCGGATCCGGACGTCAAGGCGATCGGACGTCGTTGGGAGAGGAGCGACTCGTTGGGTTCGGTGGATGATTGACCCAGATGAATAGACCTGGCGATTTTCTGGTTGTTGAGACTTTTGGGTTCGGTGAATAGTAGGCGATCTTTCTGGGTAGAATGTTGACCCCATATTTTAATATACCAACCAATTTGTTTGCAGGATGGCGCTGGTTCATGTTGACCCCATATTTTAAAATCCAACCAATTTGTTTACAGGATGGCCCTTGTTCATGTTGACCCCATATTTTAATAAACCAACCAGTTTGTTTACGGGATGGCCCTGGTTCATGTTGACCCCATATTTTAAAATCCAACCAATTTGTTTACAGGATGGCCCTTGTTCATGTTGACCCCATATTTTAATAAACCAACCAGTTTGTTTACGGGATGGCCCTGGTTCATGTTGACCCCATAAGTAAATGAACGATCCAAGTTGTTTGCAGGATGGGCCTGGTTCATGTTGACCCCATCTTTTAATAAACCAACCAATTTGTTTACAGGATGGCCCTGGTTCATGTTGACCCCATATTTTAATAAACCAACATTGTTTTTTGTTACCGGATGGCCCTGGTTCATGTTGACCCCATATTTTGTTGAACCAACTATTTTTTTTACAGGATGGCCCTGGTTCATGTTGACCCCATATTTTTAAAACAAAAAAAAAGCAACACATGTTTACAGGATGGCCCTGATTCATGTTGAGCCACAGTGAATTTTCTAGGGGGGTGTCCGATTCTGGGTGAAATGTGGGGATTCAGACCACTTTTGGAGGGGTGTTGCCCCTTATGAATAAGCTGGGGTTGGTGGGTTAGCATTGGCAGACGGATCTAGTAGTAAATGGAGCAGTAGGCGCAAGTGGACAAGCATTGGCAGGCTCAGACCAGAGGGTCAAAACCAAGACCAAGGCTAAAGTGGTTGAGACAAAGGTGGAAAATAGCATCCGATTCCCAAGATACCCGGTTCAATCATGTATTACCATCAATTTTCGACCTGAACAACTTGCTGGTGCGAGAGATGCTGGGACTGAGAAATGGAATGACCCTAAGATAAACCATCCAACTGGTGTTTTCCTTTAAGGGAATCTCTGGGTTCATTCCCTCATTCCCTACTGAGCACCAGCAAGTGTTTAAGGTCGAAAACTGATTGTGGTAGATGATTGAACCCAGGTAAACCAGGAATCGCCATCTATTTTCCAAATAAAAAGGACGGAGCCTCGGCGGAAAACAACGGGGTTGTCCGGGAACGTCCCAACCATAGCTTCGAACAAAGAAGTACCTTGGTTGGCTCTTTACAGGGGTTTGGGTGGACTGTGGGTTTTCTGCTATCTCACTCATGTGGGTGTACCTGCCCAAATGGAGGTTTTCCCTTTGCCCTTTCTTGTCCCTAACAAACCCCACAATCATAAGGGTACTCTCAAGAGAAGACATACTCAGCCATATCTCTAGGGCAATGGGCACTTTGACGTCCGACGCAACTACAGCCGCAAAGACACCCAGACACACCGACGAGGCAGCCGCATGGATTTGTAGCCATCTGGTCTGGAATGGAAGCATTCAGGTCTCGCTCGAGGTCTCTTCTAGTTGCAAGTCTGGGCTTCAAAACCGGCGGGTATTTGCTAGTTTGGCAAGACACGCCCATCGTAGCGCGGTCTCCGATGCCGTTGGGACGCAGATTCGATGATGTTCAAAATACGGCCAGCCAGGCGCACGACACCGTGCGGCGCGCAGCCCAAGCTGAGGGGTGGGAAGCGGCGTGGCGAATCCTCCAGTCCATGGCCACCAAAGGGTCCCCCAATGAAAACTCGGGAGACCCAAGTCCGTGCGTGGCCACCAAATTGGGCTCCGCCAAGTAAAACGGAATTCCAGGTGCCCAAAGTGGGAATGGGCAAAAGGTCCCCCAACTGAAAAACACACTCAGTCGTGGTCACAAAGAAGTGGGAGTGCTGGGCAAGATCGTGTGAGCAGACCTATCCAAGTGGTGCCCAAAGTGGGTATGGGCGAACAAAAATGCGAGCTCACCGATTTAGAGGGGGGGAAGAAACGAGCTAACATCCGTGAAGGTCTGTCACTGAAAGGGGTGGACCCCTATCTTTAGTTTGGGACTTTAGTTTGGGAGTCATAAAGAATTGCTCCGAGTGCCAAGTTGGTTCCAATGATCACTCCGAGAATTGCCAAAGATTCAAATGGGGAGCTTGTCTTCGGGAAGGCCGAATTTGCACGTTGCAGCCCTGATGGTGTTTGGGAGGTGAAATATGTTCGCCTGGCAGTTTTTTCACCAACTCCAAGCAACTGCATTCTTTTACGCGGACGTGGGTAGCGTGGTGTGGCTTTGATGCACTTGCCTGATGGTGGTTGCCTTTTGTTCAGCGTGTGTCTTCCAGCTGGCTCAATCCCAATAAATTTGTGTCCTTTGAAGGTAGCTGCGAACTTTGGTTGTGTTAAAGGGAGATGGCTGTGGGTCAAAACCAATGGTACCATTTTGGGGTAGGTGCACCACGCATCTATTTTATTGGGGATTGGGATGTTCACTGGGGGTACGGGCTTTTGACTCAGAAAGGCCCCTGCTAGGCGGCTGATCGACCTCCAAATGGGTGTGGCTCAAAACACCGGCACCAAAATGGAACCCTGGTAAGTGGAAACATGGACCAAAACCTGCGCAACCCCTCAAGTTTAATTTTGAGCCACACCCAAATCTGAACAGCTTGAGACAGGGTCCCATGTTGCGGGTTCGTCCATTTGGAGACGAGCCCAAATTTGACCAGAACTGTAGGCCACCCATTTGAAGAGGATTCTCTTGCAATGACCCCCATGGTTGGGGTACACAAATCACTGAGGTTCTAAGGGCAGTAGCTCTTGCTCATACCCCTTGAAGGTTCCCCGTTCACATCAGTATAACCTCGGGTTTGTTGGGTTCAGATAGCTGAGTGGACTGGCAAGCCTTTTTGGGGTCATCCAGAGCATGCGAGTGTTCAAAGGGGCGCTTACGACAAACATCAGCAGCAACACCTCAAAATGGGCAAGTCTACAGGTAGGCAGAAGCAAAACTCGCTTGCTAAGCAGAGTGGAAAGGTATGGCCAGAACCCCCTTAGTGATGAAGTCGTAGTCTTGGGAATGACACCCTTTGAGTATCACAAGGTGATTTTTGCGTGTGTGTGTGTGTGTGTAATATTTGAGGTGTCCTCTTCATGTCATCAATGTTGTTGTTTCTTCATTTATGTATTTGGATTGTTTGTTCACCTATTTGTTTTTGTTAGGTACCCGTTTCGGTTGGTTTTTGTTGGGAGCACACGGCAATCCCCACCACCATAGGTGTTCTTTCGGTTGTTTTGCCAGACAAATAGATGGCGATTCCTGGTTCCTACCTGGTGGTTTTTGCTCATCTACCAGATTTTTGTTTGTTTTAGGTACCCGTTTCGGTGGGCTGTTCCTGGAAAACGCCCCCACCCGATTTCTCGGGCCCATGCAAGTCTCATGGATCTGGGCCACCGTTAGGTTGGACCTGGAGACTGGCAAGGTGTTGGCGCACGTGAAGTTCGAGCCCGGCAACGTGGCCAGCGGGCTCAGCCCATACCGAGCGAGCGAGCGATCGCGCCGCAGACCATGGGAGGATCTTCCCTTTTTGGGGGGAAGGCTTGAAAGGGACACCAGAAGGAACACCAAAACTTGCGGCATCTTGTTTGCTTTTGGGACCCCAGCTAGGTGCCCTTCTCTCACCGGTTCTTTTTTTGGTTGGGAGGGTTCCCCTACTGAAATAGACAGAAAAAAGTTGGTACCAACTTGTTCTAACCTCTCTACAGGAGGACCTAGTTGCTTTTGGAACCCGCAAAAATTGTTTTGTAGTGCTTTGGACAAGCTGAAAAGCGCACGCCCAAGAAAACACACACGAACAACAGGGCAAGCGTCTGGCGCGAAGCTCAAGTGTTGTGTGGCTTGAACATCACTTGAGTCACTTGCTCAAAACCTGGGTAGATGAAGGTTAGTAAGGGGCGATCCCAACCATAAATAGCCTTCTTAATCCTTTACATGGTTCTGGGTTCGCCATTTTAATACCGGGTTTGATTATGACTCACCTCTGCGTTTGCCACGGGGTGAGAGCGACGGGGATGGCTCCCACTGTGATAGCAGCAAACCGCTGCCCAGTCGCCACAGTTTTAGGTTGACATGCCTTCCAAACTGATGGAAACAAGCGGGAATCCACTAATTTTAAGCATCCCTATTATGAGACAAACTGATTATTTACAGTTTTCATGTCTTGTTTGCAGCGGCTTGAGCCATCTTGGAGATTGGCAGGGTGGAGAACCTTGCCCCGTTGTCGTTTTCGGGCAAAGCAGCGAGCGCAGGTTTCCTCTTAAGCTGTGCTGAACTTGCCACCAAGGTGGCAAACGGAACAGCCACACCCAAGCACTCCATGTATGCAATATTGGTGTGTCTTTTTTTCATGGTGCCCTGTTTGTGGTAGTTCTAAATGGACACAAGCTCCACAAATCTTAAGAATCCTTATTTTGAGACAGACCTATGTTTACCCACATTTGCCCTCCAAATGGGTCGAATGTTGGTAGGTTCATAGTACTTGCATCGTGTGGGTCACCGGGTTGAGGTTTAGTTTGGTCTCACAATTCGCGGCGCCTCCTGGGAGCCCCGTCCGAGGTCACGATCAGCGGAGGAAACAACATTGGCCCCTGCCTAAGTAGCCTGCCGGATAGGGAAACCAAAGGACCCCAAAACCCACAATCGACTGCGGATGGACAAGACCCACTTTGGACCAGCCTGTAAGTGGTTTATCCCTGTCCATTTGCAGTAGGAACGTTTCTTGGAACCTTCTTAAAGGGTTCTTTTGGCGTTGCATCCGCAAAAAATAAATCATTTGGTTCAAGATACACCTTGGCTGTTGGTATCATTGGACAGCTCCATGTGCCGGGCGTCCGAGAAGAGCAGTGGCCTGTGAACTTTTTCTGAAAGTGACATTTAGTTTCACTCCGTGGCAGTAGGGTTCAATTCTTTGACTACCAGTTGGGGGGTGCGTGGGCCTGTTTGTCTGTAGCCCATGTCCCCAGGAACTAGTTATACTTGGACAGGAACTATTTATACTTTCCCACTAAAACCCAGGGCTGGGTGATGTTCCCCATAGGGAACGCCCTGGGTTTAATGTTCACAACGAAACAGTCAACGAATAGAACCTGAGTGGCGACATGCTTTGTTCTGCTTGGTTTCAGGGGGTGAAAGACAAGGCCAGGAACTTTATTTACAAGGACCAAGCACTCAAGCAGAGTTTGTTCGCCATAAAGCCCAAGGGAAAAACAACTCACTGCGTAATTTTTTAAAGTTTAGTGAAAACAGTCCACCCAAAGCTATACAGATACACGTGTTCCCGACAAGGGAGCTGAACACTTATTTTTGTTGGGCAGATTCGGCCCCGGAAGGCCGTGTGGGTGTCATCACGCACCGTGAGAAGCACCCGGGCTCTTTCGAGATGGTCCATGTCAAGGAGAGTCGATCAGATACTTTTCAGCGGGGCCCTCATGGTCGATTCCGGACCAAGGAAGAGCCACATCAAGTCCCAGGCCTTTCGGCAATTCAATTTGGGGAAGCCATGAGAGCGAGAGGAAAGTGCGAAGGCACCGAAGGATGTTTTGCGAACGGAGACTTCCTGCTAAGATGGCGCTTGCTTGGCAGGCCGAAGCATGACGCAAGAGGGAGATGAACTTGATTTCAGAGAGCCCAAGATTGCGTCGTTTGGGCCCAATCGTGTTTTCCAATTTGCTGAGGTTCTTGTTTGCAACGGGACTTCTGCGCCAAGGCTAGGGAATCCATGTTTGAGCCTTCTACAGGGCACTACCGTGAAATTTTTGATTTCACTTAAGCAGTGTCCAAGCTCCTTGGATGCTACGGGGTACATTTTGAGATGATCCAATCCTAGACCCTGCAGAGTTTGTGTCAAACGTGTTTCCCTCTTGCAACTCAACTATCAAAGCAGGCCTAGTGTCCATAGGCGTTCGTTTGGTTGTTTGGTAGAAATGGGTGCTGGTTCACCTGGTTGTTTCACAATCTCCCAGGGCCATCTATTTTCCCAAAAAGGACACCTATGCGAGTGCCGTGTTTTTCTTTTTGTAAAAAGAGAAGTCTCTTTTAAAGGTCAACTTCCAACTCTAGGTCCCCCAGTAGCGCCCTTTTACACTTTTTTGGGGGCGGGTTCCACTAAAATAGACTACAGAAAGAAAAAAGTGGGTACCCTTATTCTAACCACTCTACTGCAGGACCTAAACGTCAACTTCCAAGTTCAACGAATCAGCGGTCTCACCGTGTCACCGACACCAGGACGCCGCTGGCCACAGCTTCAACACGCGGCTGGAGAACGTCTTCGTGATCGGCGAGGGGAACAAACCATGGATTTCCCTGCCCAAGGCGCGCCTGCCTTCTCAAACCCAACCAATGTGCCGAAATATCGGTTTTTGAGGCTACCCGTTTTTGGGATGGTTTTCGAGGCTTAAGGGACACTTAAAGGAAACCAGCCCATTTTAGAAGGTCCATTTTGGTTCATTTGGTTGCTTGAATCTTCGACCTTTGGCCAGAAAACTGTGGCCCCAAAAGGGCCCTGGTGCCAACTAAACAAGACGCACTCTTCCCTTTTCAGGCCCCTCCAAGTGCCCTTTGATAGTTTATGGGGCCTGCAACTAGCGGAGTGAGGGAAGCATGGCCTCTGACACAGGGAGTCGTTTCGCCGCCTGCGGAGAATAATGGCAAAGTCCAGTGCAAAAAACGACCCCTTTTGAGTGCTGGTTCCAGGCAGTGTTTCGGCCGTTTTACGCCCAGACTCGTGAGCCATAACACCTGGGTGAATTATAAAAACCTCACACGACCTCGCCCCAAATGGTGGTTTTATGTGGGGAATAGCCCCCCGAACCACCTTATTTGAGGTTGGTGACATATTATAATTCATCCAGATGACAAGTTCTGGGGTGGCACATGGTGGCACAAGCACTGCCCAGGGCAACGGCATCAAGCTGAGCATTGTGGAGGATCGGGCGCTGAGGATGCAGCGGAAGTAGACTGCGCCGGCCCTGGTTGAAAACACTGAAGGACGTTTCGGTGTGAGTGTGTGTGTGTGTGTGTTTGTAGAGCTACCCTGGTTCAAAGAGAAACTAAGAAAAAGCAACAGGAAACCAATTTAAATTGGGGGTCCGCTGTTTTTACACGTGTTGGGAGTCATTCTCCACGTAAAGGCCAAGTTTGGCAAGTGAACAAGTCCGCAATCAGCCCTTCTCATCACCCATGTGGATTTTTCTCGGGACAGGAGCTGCTACATGTTGAGACAGGCCAACATGGTTGGATTTTGGGTCCGAGATTCATCTGAAAAAGGTCCCCCAAAGCCCAGCCCTGAGTCTCCCATAGCAGTTTTGACAGCACATTTGCTTGTGGCTGAGGCGAGCCGCGGATGTTTCTGGCGTTGGAATTGCAAAGCCCTTGAAGGAAAAAATGCGCGTCCAAAGTGGGACCCCTCTACCTCAGGTCCTTTGTCTAGGTCCCCCAGTAGTGCCATTTGACCCTTTTTTGGGGGGAGGGTTCCCTTGCTAAAATAGACTACAGAAATAGTTGGTACCCTTATTCTAACCTCTCTACTGAAAAAACCTAGTTGTCCAGCTGGCAACATGTCAAAGGGAACACCTGCAAACGTTGTTTTGCATTTGTCCGCATCTTTTTACGGCAGATGCCGCTGGGGCCGTTCTTTATTGGCAATTGCGACCACCCCTTACTGGGGTAAGGGCAGTCGCCTGTCTCTCTTCATGAGATCCTGTTTTTTTTCTTTTTGAAGACCATCATTTTCGCGGTAAATAAACAGTTTGGACGTGTTTTAGCTCATCCACTCAGGAAGTGAGCTGTGCTTCGTGGTTTTGATTTGCATCCTTGGTTGCAGTCATCGTTTCAAATTGTTCATCGGGTGTCCTTCATGCTAGCAATGCTTCGGGTTTGCTGATGGCCTTGTTTGGCATGTTCCACCATGCAGTTTGGAGCCAACCTCAAATTGTGCGGCTCACCCCCGACAAGCTTGAACAAGCTTGCAAGCCCTCCCCCACCATCCTTAGATTGTTGGTCTGCGAGTCCCAAATACAAAGCGAACTGGTGGCTTGTGTATGATCAAACCATGATTGAATAAAGAGCCTTTTGGGCATTGGTTGCACTTGTGGATTATACCTCTTTTCTCATTCATGTTGTGTTTCCGGCTTGACCGTCTCTCATGTGCTGTGAGCAGTCAGTTCGCCGGGCCCCTTTTGTGACCCGTGATGGTCTTCAGTTGGTCTTCTCTCCGCCGCTTTCTTGGCTCAGGGCTCTTTGCATCCGTCGAACACTTTGGCCCTCCGAAACCCTTGAGAGCCTGCGCCGCATTTGGTGCTGCATCATGCCACCGCGAACATCATCCCGTTGGAAGGGGCGCGGAGTCGGTTTCTTTTCTTTTCTCTCTCTCTCTCTATATTTATTTATTTCTCTATTTTGTGCATGTCGAAGCTTGTCATTTGAAAAGATGTAACAGGCCCCAGCCCTCCAGTGGTGCTTTACCTTGCTTTTGGTTGAGGCCCCCTTAGAACCACAGGAGGTCTGGGAGGCTAATCAGGGCGTGTGGCAGCGAACCCAATCTCCCAAGGAAGATGGCGCGCGGAATCATCAAGCACCTGAAGCGCATGTATGCCCGTCGGCTGCATGTTTGGTGAATCCTCAAGCATGCCGCAAGTTTGCAGAGCAGCTTGGTCTGTTTTCATAGAGTCACAGTGATCTCCTGGTAACGAGCGCCATTATGGTTTACCCACCAAAAAGGGATCCTAGAACCTTTTCTAAGAAGATTCCGGGATTTTTTTCAGGGGTGGGCCTGGGCTTGTCTCCCGCGTGTAAAGCCGGCTTATCCTCAGCCTTAATACTGCAATGCAAGCACCGACAAGAAGGCCTTCCAAGTCTCACCACACCCGGGCAACAGGACCATCGTGCATGCAATGAAGGAGTTGGGTAAACACCTGTCTGGGCTGGATCATCGCTCGCATTCTGTCCTCAACCCGACCATTTAAACAAGGTGGCTCAGCAAGGGGAGCGCACACACGCGCTGTTTGCAGAGGGGGGAAGGATGCATTTGTTCTTCTAGGTCCCCCACCAATAGTGCCCGGCATTCCCCTTTTTGGGGGAGGGCTAAATGGACTACAGAGAAAAGTTGGTACCCTTCTTCTATCCTCTCCACTGGAGGACCTAGTCTCCGTGACCTCCACCGGGGTTCATTTTTTTGCAGGGTGGGTCCCCTCTCAGACCAACCCTAACCGCTTGATTTTCTTGGCTTCCTTCAAGTCAACAAGGGTACCCTCAGAGAATGCAAACACCCAAAAAGATGGGGATGTGGCCGTGGTTGTCAAAACCAATGGGATCCCATTTTGGGGTAGGTGAATTCACCACCCATTTTAGAACCTATTTTAGTGGGGATTGGGATCTTCACTGGGGGTACGGGCTTTTGACCCATGGCCATGTCTCAACATAGGGAACCCCTCTTTTTTGCGTGGTTTGTAACGGGAAACCAAAAGGACGCCGAGCACATCACTTAGGAATTGGCCCCTAACTTAGAGGCAGACCCATATGAGAAACGGACACTATTGCTGATGGTTGTGTTTCATTTGGGGAGGACGTGGGGGGGCCAATTCCCAATTTCTTATTTGGTCTAACAAGAACTAGGGAGGCTTTATCCGATTGAACCAGCTGCACGTCATATTGTCCGCGGCTATGGATCCAGGTCCCCCAGAAGTGCCCTTTGACCTACTTTTTTGGTCGGGAGGCTTCCCCTACCAAAATAGACCACAGCAAAAAGTTGGTAGCCTTATTCTCACCTGGTTTTTATTTATTAAAATCGACCACTGCAAAAAGTTGGTAGCCTTCTCACCTCTCCACAGGACCTAGACTTGGAGCCTCTGCGTTGGGTCTGGAGCTGACTACGTCGGCCGTCACTTGTGACTTCCCAGGCGCCGAAGCACTGGATGCTCGACAAGCTCCGCGGGCGATGGGCGGCAAGCTGAGTGGAAAGGTGTCCTTTGGCATAGCCTTGGTGGATTCAAGCCTTCCTTCCAGCACCCACAACCAACTGCAAATTTGGACAGTACGTGGAAATTGTGGACATGGGAAAAGTCAAAGTGGTTGGGTGGTGGTGATGGTGGTGGTGGTGGCGGCGGCGGCGGCGGTGGTGGTGGTGGTGCTTGTTGTTTTTGTTCCACCTCGTGTTGTTATTGTGTTACTAGTCTGCCTTCAAAATATTCAACCCTTGGCTGTTGGGTTTGAGCCCTGGTGGTTTTGTTTGACCCTTGGTAGCAGCAGAGCACAGCAAGTGCTTGAATGTCTTTGGTGCCCTTTGTTAATGCGAGCTTCAGATGCGTCCAGGCTGCAACCGTATCACTCAGTGGTTCCGCTTTTACTTGGTGGCTCCCAGCCATCCCCTTAGCCTTTTAGCTTTGTAGTGTTTAGTGAAGTTAAACTGTTAGCGGGGGATGTGAGGGGACAGCCCAGTGTAGCAAGGAAATCATGTATTTCAGAGTTTTATCATGCAAGTGGGCATTTGGCCTTTTCAAGAGCACATCAATCTTCCATCACCTGATATGGTCCACTTCCATGATTTTTGGAAGGTAAAGTGTGTGGTCACATGGCTGTGGGTCAAAAATAGGTACCCAAAATGGCTTGCCCTGGTAAATGGAACCAAAGACTAAAACCTGTGGTCCATATCCTGGTGGCTGAATTTTGACCCACAGCCACATGATTGTTGCGCGTATGTGTGTGTGTGTGTGTTGTGACTGGGTGCTTTCTCGTCACTGAGGCGCCCAAGCCAAACGCCGGTCCTCACAAGCTCCGCGAGTGCATGCCACTCATCGCCGCTCGGACTCAAGTGGGTCGACTCTGAGTCAAAGCACCCAGTTGCCTTTGGCTGTGAGTTTTCAAGGGGAAGCCCCTGAAAAGTGGTTGGTGGACATACATCCCACTTAAATGATGTCCACCAAAGGGTCCCTAACTCAAATGTGCCAACATGGAACCAAAGACTAAAATCTGCGAAACCCTAGCTTATCAGTTTTGAGCCGCACCCATTTACATGGCTTTGTAACCAAGAGAAACACCCAGGTAGGCAACTGAAAGGAATATTGTTGTGTGTTTGTGCATTTTCGTTTTTGGAGGGTCCCCCTTTTGTAAGTGAATTTAAGCGGAAGCCAACAGGAAAGCCACAATTTTGAGGGTACCCTAAAAAAGAGACACCCAAATGGGTGTTTTCTTTTTGCAGGGTACCCCTTTTTGGATGGAGGCCGAACGGAAGAAAAACGTTTTGGGGGGTCCCTAAAAACAGACACCCAGCTAAATGGTGGGTGTTTATTCATTAAAACAAATAACAACACGTTTTGCAGCGTTTTTGTTGGAAAAGACATGGGTTTCTAAAACAACATCAAGTAGGCATTGTGTTTAAGCAAAAAACAAGTATGCCTTTTACAAACACAGGGCTGCCAACTCCAAAAAAGACGACACACCTTCCAAGGTGTTTTTTTACTCACCATTTTGGGAGTCCACATCCCTCTTCTTGACCCATACCCAGTTCGGTCTGATTTTTACGACGGGACCCTTTGGTGGACATGGAGATTAATGTCCAACCACATGTGGTTGGTGGTTCCATGCTATATATATATATATATATGTATTGAAGTTTCTTTGGGGGAACCCGACTCATTGGTTATACATCCCCGAACTGGTGTCAAAGTTCAAGCCATGAGAATCGGACTCCTTTCAGGTTGGTTTCAGGTTGCTATCCTCTGGTATCTTCCCAAGAGGTGTTCGAGACATTAAAAAAGAAAAAACTGTCCAGTTGCAACTCCTTTGTTTAATGGCCTGCGGCCTGGTTCCGCCGCCCCCATAGGGCTCAGAATTTCGGCCCGACTGCACATGCGCCTACACACACATGGACAGACCAACGCACGCGTGCACATACACCTACGCATGCGCATGCACAGCGGACACAGATGCACAGACACGCGCACCACTCATACACAAACACAAACACAAACTGCACATACGCACATGTACATTTAGACACACAACACACACATACACTCTCACAGGAAGGAGAGGGGGGGAGGGGGGGGGGAGCGGGGGAGGAGGGGGGGGAGGAGGGAGGGGGGAGGGAGGGGGGAGGGGGGGGGAGGGAGGCAGACATCCAGACCTCCAGACATCCAGACATCCAGACATGCAGAGATTCAGAGATCCAGAGATCCAGAAATCCAGCCGACGTATTTTCCCGCCCCAAGGGACACACATCTACATAATTATAATTGCATTAAACCTATAGAAACAATATCAACAAAAGCAACACAGAACACACCGCCCCCATGCCAAAAGCATGGTCCATGCTGGACCGGGTCGGCGGATTCCTTTCCGGAACAGTCTACGGATTGGCTGGCCAAGAAGGGCTAGCCAGCCATGATCCAAGATGTCTTGAACCTCGAGTAGTTTCAGATGTTGTCGCTTTACCGCATATAGATCATAGTCGGACAAGTACGAACAACGCGATTCGGATTGCTTACTTGGGTCAAACGCAGGCAGTTTTGGGGGTTGCATAGTACAAGTGGCATCATTCCAGGGGCGGGTGGTCCAAGATTTCGCTGATAGCAGAAGAGCCGGAGCTGTTGACGGTTGTAACTAGTTTATTCTTTGGCCCACGGCCTGGGAGTGTTTTGTGCGACTCTCAATTTTGGACTTTGTACCCTGCGGGAGTGCCTTTCCAAGGAAAGTTGTCTTTCAGGACCCTCTGTCAGGCTCCATGGGGGCTACTTGTTTTAAATGGGGTGGCAATGAGGTTTTCGCTGTTGGATCAGGAGGAGGTAGCATGAAGCCTCTCCTGCCACTTGATGGACAGGTTATGCTGCGACAACGCCTCAAGTATGCCCGGAGCCGAGACTTGTTGTTGTTTTACGTAAGGTTTCGTCAACATATCCAATGTACGGTCAATATGGAAGGGACATAGGACTCATGCCCACGAACAGAAGCAACACAGGGGATTCAGGGGATTCAGAAATTGCGCCATGATCAAACATTTGGAAGGCGACACAGGCTGGTATCACGGAATGTGACGCTCTTATTGCAAAGTGGTGGGAACAAATGCTGCTGTTGAAGTGCGATGCGCAGCGTGTTTGTGCTTGCTTGAGCCGATGTGCATTCCATTGCCCGTCAGAGAACATTGGTGCCGTCCACATTTCCCAAGTTCATCCTGTCAAGCTTGTTCATTTATTTGTTTGACCTTGCAACGGGAGGTAGAGCATGTCATATTGAAGCAGCGAGCTGAAAGTGAGATCAGCAAAACTTGTTTGCCGCTGAAGCCAAAAACAACGACGAATTCCGGCCCATCCAATCCCGCCCTGCGCTGTGAGTTTCCCAGGCATTTGGGCCTGGCCAGCGGTTTGAACAAACCGCCTGGCTTCACCAAAGCTGTTAGTTTCCCCAAGGCAAGGGGGGAACCCCCCGAGACAGGACCAGCCGCACTCGAAGCCCAAAGCCAATCGACCTGAACTGACTTGTTGGTTGCCTTCTCAAGCGGTTCTCCTTTTACCATTTGAGGGACCGGGGGCAGTTGAAACCTCACCGCTCTTCTTTTGGCCTCCTTCAGGCGGGCCACAGGGTGTTCCTTACCCTGGGGTTTAAACCACCATTCAAACAATGGCGGGTCATAATTGCCTGCATTATTTACATAAGGATTGTCATCATCCAAACTGGGTCCCAAGGCCATTCCTTTAATGGGGGCTTTGGGACCCCTAGGTCCTATTCGGCTGTTGGAACCACCGCTCGAGGCCCTGACCTACCACGAGGTGAAGATGATTGTCATGCAGCGCCTCATCAAGGTCGCGCCGTCCTCGGATGCGGAAAATGCCGCTGGCAAGGGGATCGATCTCTTGGGTTTTTAAGGTGTACCCTTGTTGGCTTTGGAGACAAACACATCTTCTCCCTAAGAAAGCATCATTTTTGTTTGGAGGGGGTGTTTTGTTGTTGTTTGAGAAGGTTTGCCTGCATTTGCCCTGCACACATGGCCCAATCAGGGCCTTGTCAGTACATGCTTTCTAGATGGAGTGTTTGGGACAAGAGGTACCCTCTTCCCAACAATGGAAGCTGCCCTCATGGAAGATGGTCAGATGTAGGCATGCCTGGCTCAAATATGCTGGACCCAGTGGTTGATACTTAGAAGGGAAACCAAAAGGAAGCCAGCAGTTTCAGGGGGCCCCTCGATTGGAAACATGGACTTAAATCTGCGGTCCCCTGGTGTTTTAATTTTGACCCATGCCCATCTTGAGAAACCCCTCGCAGGGAGCGGCGTTTGTTGTTTCTCTCAGGACGGCAAGGTCCGCACCGACATGTTCTACCCTGCGGGCTTCATGGACGTGGTCCAGATCGAGAAAACCAAGGAACTGTCTACAGGGTTCCGTGCCGTGTCCACCTTTTGAAATCTCCAATAGTGGTTGTTGATCGTTTCAATGGACCGGTAAATTGAACAACGTTTGAAGAGGAAATCCAGTGACCCCTGGTCTAACTTGCTGGTTCTGAGGAGAAAGCCTGTGGCCATGGTTCAAAGCCAACGGTACCATTTTTGGGGTAGGTGCACCACCCATTATAGAACCTATTTTAGTGGGGATTGGTTGATGTTTACTGGGGGATAACCGGGGTTTTGACCCATGGCCATGTGATTGAACCTCATCCGCTCAAAGATAAAACTAGAAGGGATGGCGGAAAGGTCATTCCCTCATTTAATTTGAGAACCAGCAAGCGCTGAGGTGGCTTGCATAGGTGTCCTTTAGTCAAGGCTCCGTTTGCTTCAACATAAAGCATTGGACCCATTGCTTTCCCATTGTTTCCAATAATTTGCCAGAGCCATTGATTGTTGCAAACTACACCTAAGGTGACTAATATTTGCGTCAATGTGGGCCTCTGTTGGAATGCCTTGCTGAACTTTGACAATGATCCCAAGGACCATAGTGGGAATCCCTTAGGTTTGATGGGTTTGCTCTAAAAGGGCAAGTTAAGCACCTGTCGATTTACGTGGGTGGCTCATATTTTTTGAGAGTGCGGGTCCCGTTGAAGGTTGGCTCCAAAGGAAACTAAACGGAAAAGGGACCATTTGGAAGGGGTCCCGGTCCATTCATAGACGGTGACCATCTCTCCCCATTTCACCTCATATGCTGGAGTGCAAAGACCGCCATGGCCACGGGTGTGCCAGACTAAAGCAGACACTTCGGCTTTCCTGTTGGTTTCCCTGACCAGAAAACGGTATGGCATCGACAAAAGACTCACCCATTTCTTTATTTCCGGAGAATGGTTTCTCTTCAAATCAAGAATGCAACGGAAAGAAGGCTGTTTGAGCACGACAGGTGCACCGCAAAGCTGCATCTGACCAGTGACCGCTCAAATGGCTAGGACCTTTAGGGAACCGCCTCAAAAGTGGCTGGACATGAATCCCCACCTAAATGACACCAAAGGGTTCCCTATGAAAATTCACACTGTTTTCATTCAGTCAAGGCATCGACTCCGTATAGACCTTTGTCACCCTGTGGACCAATCAATGGGCTTTGGTCGCTCATGTGGGCATCCCTTTTGGCTTTCCCCTTGACCGCCTCTTGACGTTTCCCCCCGTTTCAAGACTCCTGTCACGCACATGTCGAACAATTCGCGGGGATGGGGGGGGGCGGCTTTAAACAGTTTGTTTCATGTCGTATGAGTTTCCCCTCAGTCCGACGACGAAGGGGCCCCACGGCGCGCCAAAAGCCAAAAGGGCTTAGCTCTTACCTTAGTGGTTGGGTACTCCCTTGTTTCGAGAGTATCAGCAGGAAACCGCCCATGGTGGGGTTCCTCCATTTGAAGACAACCCATGCATGTGTATGACTTTCTCTCTCTCTCTCTCTCTCTCCATACATATATGCATAATATATATATATATGTTATGTGGTGTACATGTAATTATTTAGTATGCTAATATATACATATATATATATACATACATGTTGAATTCCTGCATCCAGGAGAACTTCCGCCTGCTTTACAACACCAAGGGCCGATTCATGCTCCACAAGGCCGGGGATTGTGAGGAGAAGGGGGGCGTGTTTTGGGGTGAGCCGTGGTATCCGTTTTCATCTTTCATACCAAACCCATCCATTTTTGGCGGGCTCCAACTCCCAACGCATGTTGCCGCCAAAGCAAGTGTTGGGTCCGAATTGATTTGGGTATGGGTCAAAATTAATGCAACAGGAATTGGACCGCAGGTTTTAGTCCATGATTCCCCACATTTTGAGATGTTCATTTCGGGTGAAGTTGGGACCAGCCAAATGGACTGACCACAGGTTTTAGTCGTTTCCATTTCCCGATGGGGCAAGCCATTTGGGGGTTACCCGATTTTTCACCGCCAAGGTCACCAAGGAGGAGGCCGGCTACAAGCTCTGCCGCGTGAAGAAGGTGATGCGAGGCGCCCCCGCGCGCGAAAGCGGCTTGCCCTCCGGGCACCTGGGTTTGGGTCTGTGCTCACAAAATTGGGAGCCTCGTTTGGATGGCGTTCTGAGCCAAAAGGAAGCCAACCAGTTTTGAGGGGCTAATTTTTAGACACACCCTGGTGGGTAAAACTTATAAACTGCTTATAAGCCAGAAATGTCCGTCTGATTGAATGAAGAACCACTCTTTCAAACCACCAAGTTGGGATAGATGAGTGACACAATGCTAGATTGCTTGTCAGTTTGGAGGACTAGAAGAGAGCACACCCGCCCAGTTTGCCAATTTCTTGGCCCTTGAAACTACTACCACTACCACTAACACTACCACCGTACCCGACACCTACTCCACTACCACTACCACTGCCATTGCCACTACGCTGAAATGCGTTTTTGAAGCGGGTGGATTTTCCTCATATCTGTTTGAACGGGATGTATGTAAGTTGTTTGGTTCCTTCACCGATCTGCTTGGCTCCTTTGCCCGGTTGCTAGGCCTGCGCGGCGTTCCTTACGCCGTGACCCACGACGGCCGCACCATCCGCTACCCGGACCCGGACGTCAAGGCATGCGAAAGCGCATGGGGGTCGCGGTCCTAGGACCTCCCCCGCAGATTGACATGGAACTCGCAACAGCACTGATTTTACAGGGGCCTAACTACCACCCCGTTGCCAACCACACGTGTGATTGAAGCGGCATGTTGCCAGTCATCCTTGGTGTCAAGCTGCTTAGTTTGTCAGCTCTTCTCCCCTTGCCATGCCCATTTGACAGGCGCATGACACTGTTCGGCGGGGCGCTTAGTGAAGAGAATCCTTCTGAGTTACTCTGACAATCCATTGGCCGTCGGGGAGGGGGGGGCTTGGGTTGGTTGAAACGGAGCAGTTTTAAAAGCAAAAACTCGCACCCGCCTTTTTAGCGGTTCCGAACCCCACTTTGGCTATCACAGCTTTCGGTCGGGGTCCCAGTGAGCAACATCATGTAAGGCCCTTTTTGCTGGGATAGTTTGGTAAAGATGTGCAGCATGATTGCTGCATGCATGAACCTATTGAAGCTGACCTTACCCAAATCATCCACCACAACACGAGCAAGGACTCTAACGATCATTTATGGATTTGGATTCTCGAGTTGTTGATCGCTTTGCTGATGGGAGGCCTTGGAGTTTCAATTGGCAGCTTTCGGTCAATTGGTCAACACTCGGTTGGAGGCAACATGACCAATGTCAGACATGACGCAGATCCCGTCCTAGGGATTTTCTGAGTTTCGCCAGATCGATTTGGGGCTCAGGCGCTAGCCCCTAACTTTGACCGCAGCTGAAAGAGGATCACCTCTTGACATGTGCTTGGCTAGTGGAATCTCCATAATGGTATCATGTCGCCAGTCGACATCCGGAAGGATGACACATGCAACTTGCTTCCTGTCCCCTTCCAAACCGGTAGGGCGGGGGGGGGCCAGCTCATGTCAAAGCTATCCTTCTCCCTCTAAGTGATTGCACCGCGCGCAAGCAACCACAGATCTCCCTATAGATACGTGTGCTAAGGTGTCGTGTTTGCCGTTGGCCGCAGCGTTTCTTCACAGGGGAGTAGGGGCGTTGTTGTTTTCCGTAGAGGGAACCGGGAGATTAGGAGATTAGCTCGAGACAAGGCTGGATCTTGAGACGGGCAAGATTCTGGCGCATGTGAAGTTCGAGCCTGGCAACGTCGCCGGGCCCCCAGAGCTTCACCCTCCAGATGAATGTCGAATTGGAAAACGCCCAACTTTGCCTCGGCGGAGTGTGGGGTCATGATTTTGACCGTTTCTAGGGGTTAAAGTCAAAAATGGAATCCGTTGTTTCCCTGTAACCCATCACTTAGGGGGTGACTTTGATCATGGTAAAATAATGAGGCCAGGAGTGTCGGTGGGAGGCCTAGGTACCGGCACCTGTCAACTGTGAGCGTCACGGGGTGCCTTTGTTACAAAGGAAGCCACTCGTAGTTTTCGGCGGTCCATGCGGAAAGTCCTCATCCCTTGTCAATAGCCCCCCCCTTTCAAGTATCAGACAGCTTGCATGATCATGTTTGGGGCCTTTTGAAATGGGCAGGACGGTTGGTGCGGCCCTTGAGCCCGCCGAACGCATGATGCTTCGGTTTGGCTACCCTGCTTCGGTCCTCAACGGTGGCTGGACACACATCCCCACATCGCTGTCAATGATCAGAGAGGCAAACCCTTTAAAACTGATTGGTGGACCATGTCCAAGAAGGAGGTCCCCAACACTCATACCGAGCTCGCTAGGTGACCATCAGCGGCGGGAACAACATTGGCTCCTTCCTTACCTGCCGGCGTGTGTTTGTCGCAAGATCGAGTGCTGGCAACTGGGGGTTATTTGAAGGTTGACTCAATAAGCACTGAAATCCAACATATTCTGTTTGGTTGAGAACAACCGCCGAGGCAGGCCGGGAGGTTTGAGCTTAAATGATGCACGGCTTGTACATTGCATATCACATTGTTCGACGATATGGATCCCCTGACAAAGCAGGTGCTTGTAGCATGTGGGTGTTTTATTTTCTGGGTGTACCGGTGTACCCTTTTGTGGGCTGATTTAAAGGGAAACCAGAAGAAAACCACCCACATGTTGGGTCCAAATCCCTTTTGGGACTATATACCATGTATCCCCACGAACACTAAACACATGGTCTTAGAGAAAAACAATGTCTTTCTATCAAACACCGTATTAAATACCGCTGTTGGAATTACAGGTTATTTGTTTGGTGCTTTGACCTCCGGAAAGCGGCGCCGTGAGGCCGTGTGGGAGTCATCACGCACCGTGAGAAGCACCCGGGCTCCTTCGAGATGGTTCACGTGAAGGAGAAATGGGGGGGGGGTTCTCAAGATAGGAGTCTATTGTTGTCCCCATAGTAGTAAGTGTAGGGCGGTGTCCGGATTCTGTGTGAAATGTGGGGAATCAGGCCACTGTTGGAGGGAATCACCCCCCTTTTTATAAAACTGGGGTTGATTAATGTGGGGTCAAAAATGGTTGGTTTCCTTTTGATTTCCCTTTAAGACCAACCCCACAAGGGTGGCCTTAAAAAGACACCCTCAAATGAGTTGTTAGGCAATCCTTCATCCTTGCTTTGGGTCATTTGTGCACCCAGAGACTCCTGGGGCTTTCAATGGAAGACCCGACCCCTCCATATTAGACACCCCGGAGGTGTTGGGGACCCGGTCTCAAACCCTGGCTGTTTTAGGGCCTAAATACATCGAATTGGAGCCTCTTGGCAGTCATTATTCGATTGGGCTTGGCCAAGCCTCCATTTACAGCCTAGTCAAAATGCTGGGCTCCTTGTGGGAGGGTTGAGTTTTCTTTTGGAACCGATTTTTTGTGTTCCCCGATTTTGAGAATTACGCTCAAAGGGTGTCCCATTCTGTAGGACCCCCCCCCATTTTGTTAACACATCAACATGAGTCCACAACGTTGATGCCATGTTTGAGACATATTTGTATTACTCCTTTCAGGGCAAGTGGCGATGGCCATTTCTATAGGAGCTTGTACAAGCCAGCTGAGGATAGATATTCAGAAGCAAACTCACTACAAACCCACGGCATTGGCCAATCATTGCCCGTTTCATTTCACGTAGCTTGTGCGTAAGAAAGGCAATTGAGTGTCTCCCGCTTTTCAGCGTCACTTCCTCATGTTCACGAGGTTTTCTCACGAGCTCGCCCGGAGGGGGGGGGGTCAGGACTCGGCCGGCCACAGCTTCAACACGCGGCTGGAGAACGTCTTCGTCATTGGCGAGGGCAACAAGCCTTGGATCTCCCTGCCCAAGGCGCGTTTGCTGCCGAAGCAAGGGTCATGTGTCGAACAAGGGACTCCTAAGATGTGCTTAAAGTGTCCCCCGGTGAAACGTGTTCCGAAAGATGGGTATGGGTGATTTCCCTCGTGGTTTCCTTCCAATTCAACCGCAATGCACATGCTCAAACAAGTACGACCTATTTCCTCCCTGGGAAAGGCGGAGGCCTTGACATGGCCTTGGTCTCCATCATTCTCCATTCTACCGGTAACAGCCATAACTTTTTAAGCAGGCCGAAGAGGGCCAAGCCCAACGTATAGGAATGTGTCAAACCCTGGAACGCTCGATCACGCGGAGTGGACCGCTGGCAGAGCTCACTATAGCTATGTAGCTCATTCATTTGAGGTTTTTTAGTTGGGTATGGGTCAAAATGAAACTACCACGATATGGACCGCAGGTTTTAGTCCTTGTTTCCATTTACCAGGGTTTCATTTCGGGTACCTATTTTTGGCCCACAGCCATTTCAGGTTTTGGACATATTGCAGAACTTGCAGAGTGTTGTAGATGAAATGTGACACAATTGCTAGCTTTCTGTGGTTTGCGGAGCCCACATTCCCACAAGCACTACAGAGGCCCCCCCATGTTTCTCAATGCTCTCTCTGGGAGAATGCTGTCCGCGGGGCAGAATATGTGCTTTTAGCGCTGGGCAAAATGCGGTTGAACCCCATACTTTCTTCACCTTCGACTCCAAGATATCTCCAACGAACACTCATTGATCTCATGTGGTATAGTAACAGTTGCTGCTGCCATGCAACATGTGACAATGTAAAATAATTTGGCTTATATTGCAGCATGAGCTTGTACCTCCAGCCATCCCCTTGTTTAGTGGTTGGATTTCCATTAAATGGAATCGCTGAAAAACGATTGGGGACTCTCAGACTAAGTAGCGCAACGGCCGTAAGTAAGTAATTTCGACCATGCCTCATTGATTCCACCAGAAGATAAATAGCGCTGGATCCGAAAACGGGCCGCCCAGTTTGCCGCTTTTTCAAAAGGGGTCGAGCGGTGCAGGGCAATGGCATCAAGCTGAGCATCGTGGAGGATCGCGCCCAGAGGATGCAGCGAAAGTAGACGGAAGCAGACGCGCGAGCGGCGGCCGCCTGAGAGCGGCGTCTCTGGTGGCGTACACTCTGTTGCCCAGTGGTGCCCTTGTTCCTTTCTTTGGATCAGGGTTCCCCTTTCAAGTCAGCCAGCAAAAGAAGGATGCCCTTTTCTTCCATGGCAACTGGGCATCTGAGTACAGTGACGTACATGGGCATAGGGGTCCTTTTTGGTTGTTTTTGGTAAAAACAAATAAATAAATTGCGATTCCTGGTTTCACCTGGTGGTTTAATCATCTACCAGGGCCATCTATTTCCTCTAAAAGGACACCCAAGTACTTAAGCGCGCTCAGAATTTACGGAAAAGGAAAGTACTACACTTGGACATCCATATAGATCCAGGTGCTTGAAACCATGGAAACGACGATACCTTTGTGTTACAGACCAAAGGCTGGAAAACGATAGGGGACTCTCAAATTTGGCACGTTCTTACTGCGAACAGCAAATCTTGACGGACCTTCACATGGGTATGGGTCAAAAAAAGAAATACCGCCAGGATACGGACCGCAGGTTTCAAAGTCGCTGTTGCCATTGACCAGGGCTAGCCATTTTGGGGTTACCCTATGTTTGACCCACACCCAACTAGGGGACCCTCCAAATTGGTGGGTTTCCCTTGTGTTTACAGCCAGCCAAGAGGCTCCACCAAAAAGGGCATCCACATGGAACCATGTGGAACCCCAAAACCATGGGATCTTTCGAGGAATCTCCTTTTCTGGGAACTGCCTCTTTGGCAACTTGAGATTCGAGTCCTATTCACCATGAAACAAGTCATTTGGGGAAGTGGGCATGAGGCGAGTCCCTTTTCCCCATCAAGAATGTCGCAATGGATTCAGTTGACTCTTCCGCTCGAGTGGAAGACCTGTTGTTATCGGTGCTTAGTCTGATTCCATCTACCGTTTCAGGTGGGAGCCAGCCAAAGAGTAGTAGGAGCAACGTGACTACCACTAGCTTTATCCCAATGTTTGTTTGCTAATTGTTGGTTTTAAAGTACCCCACAACCCCATTCTATTCAGGCGCCTCTATGGGCAATCATGGGTGACGGGATGTTGGGACACGTTCCTTTCCGAGTCGCCTCTTTTCGCCTTCAGCTTGGAAAGACACATGGGATCACATGGGCACTGACGGGATCTGGGCAACGGGCACCGGCTTGGGGGTCGGAAGATCTTCCGACGTCAACCTTTCTTACCCCTAGGCTTGGCACACCTTTTGAGCTTAAGCCGGGCCTTTCCATGAGGATTCCTTTCGCAAGGGTTCTGAGGCCCGGCTCTTCTCACAACTCTTGGAGACTTGGTCCTGGTTGCTTTTTTTTCCAGGATGCTCCAAGTCTTGGACATTTCTTGGCCCTGGTTTCTAGTCGGAGCGATGCTTCGAGTTTGACCGCGCCTTTTGGCTTCCGCCGATCTGAAGTCCCGCCCTGTACTGGACTTTGGGTCGCCCCTTTTCCCCTGGACATAGGTTCACTTTTGGTTTCATGAGTGTCCCCACCGGAATCCCTTCGAACATGATTTCAACCCATGTTGTGTTTGGTTTGGGGCAACCCCACTGACGTTGGTTTCGTGCCACAAGCCAGCAGGCCATCTCAATGCCAGCACACTGAGGCACACGTGAGCAGGTGGTTTCTGCAGCGCTCGGGTTGCAAAGCTCTTGACGGAAAAGATGGCTCGCGGCCGGGGAGAGCAACTGCCAAGAGTGGCTGGCCAAGTATTTTGTTTTTCACAACCAGGGGGTCCACAGAATTGTCCCATGTTCAGAGGGGAGCAAGGAGTATTGGCTGGGGCTTACATGAGGTTGAGAAATTCAGGATCTTTTTTTGGCGACGCCACTTCAAGGGCGCTGTGTGTGTGTGTGGATGTTCTTCGACCTCGCGTGTGACACACAAACTCCAATAAAAGTGCGCAAGTAGTCAAGGCCGATATTCCTTCGGTTTTGCAGAAGTGGCTGCAATTCAGACGCCGGTCGAAAAGGAAACTGGCCCACCATCCACTTGTGCAAAAAATGCCTTCAGCTTTGGCTCATAAAACGGCGTTGGACACGCACCTTTCAAGTGCGATCAATGTCCGCCACCTCATGAAGAGTTGACTTCATAAGCAAGGCGCACAACATATGCAGACTTACAGCTGGGGACTGGGGCGTGTGTCCACATTTCAACCAATGCACAGCCTCAGCATGGTGACGAATCAGCTTTAGCTGGCGATTGAACAACAGGAATTGGCGATCCAAAACAAAGGCTCTTTTTGTGACACACAAGGCATGGCATAGTTCCCTATACCCTCTTTGGCTTACATGGCTTTGCCACTTTCTGGCTGACCTTGCCCTACCAAATTTAACTGCTTCACAAAGCACACAACAACCTAACGCTCCACAGGAAGCACCCTGACCTTCCATGAAATGATGCCATGGCAGCGGTGTCGCTGGTGGACCTGCTCACAGGCAAGAGGGGAATGTGTGTAACTTAGAATTAAACAGGGGGGGGTTCGCAGGTTTTGGTCCATGTGTCCACTTACCAGGGTTCCATTTTGGTACCAGTTTTTGACCCACAGCCATATGTTTGAAACTAGTCGCCTCTGTTTGGTGTTGAAGCGGACGGCAAGCCACTGATGTATTTCTTTGTCGCGGTTTCCACTTCTTCTCCTCTTTTTCGGACTTCTCCAAAAAGAGGCTCCTCAAGCGATTTAAGGGAGTGGCGGGCTGTTCCGAAAGTACCCTGACCAGTGCGGCCAAAGTCCAGGTGTTTTGCTTGAAGAGGCGACGGGGTTTTGGCTTGGCACTTGTGTGCAATGAAACACGCCTTGCACAGAGCTGGCAGAATGCGGCGCCTTGGCGTCTCCGCCAAGAAGAAGTATTGGGGACGTTCCCGATAGCTTGGGCTATTTGAGAATTCGGCACGTCTTTGGACCCAGCTGTTAAAGAAGGCTCAACCAGTGAGCCGTCACGCGCTCCCGCAGACGTGCTTTCTGTGGGCTGCAGACCTGGCTTCTAACCTCATTCCCGATATATATATATATATATGTTAGCCATGGTCACGCCTTCTATGATCATGGTTCTCTTGACAATTCTATTGTAATGGTTATTCAGGACCTATACACCCCAATGAAAGGAACCGGTCTTTTGACCATGGCATAAGATTCTCACGAAGGCTGATTTTTCCATGATGTCTCAAGCATCACGGTTGCACTGATCAGCTGTCCACTCAGCACATGTTTGCTGAATCCAACTCCAACTAGTTCTGGTGTCCCATGCCGTCCCAAACCGCAGGCGCCGGGCCCGCTCAGCCATTGCTTTGCGTGCGCGACGAGGCGAGGTCTTCGCGAATCTGCCACAGCACCGCTGACAAGACAATGGTGGAGTTTTGCATCCAAGGTAGCAAGGGGATGACATTGGGCACACTCGGCCAAGTACCGTTGCGACATGAAATATGGGGCTCCGCAGCACAATCTTCCTTTGTTGAAATAACTATTTGTTATTGTCCCTTTTTGGTTGAATTTATCACTGGAAATAGGTTCTCAGTTTTGTCCAGGGGACGAAAAAGCTAAATGGAGAAAATCCAATTTTCACAGGGGACTCATAAATCTGCCGTTTTTGGGGGGACCCCTCACAGAAATGTGTCTAGGAGGTTCTATGCACTTTCAGCACAGTGTGGAAAACGGCCGGCTTGTGGGGCGTCAGGGCCGCAGACAGACGGAGTTGTTCAGGGCCACAGTTCTTCACATGCGTGTTCACCAAGGAGGAAATAACTAAGCCTTGATTCACAGGGCTCAACTCAGTTTCAGGCGGCATCTCACCTCTTCTCCGATCCAGGGTAAACATTCCTGACCCAACATTTCCAGTGGGATCCCTCCATTTCTCATGACCCGGGTCAGCTTCTCCTTGGGTTTGGAGCTCCAAGGGACGCTCCGGTGTTTATGTCAGGCGCTGACGCTGCGCTTTGCCTCGGGCCCGCAGGAGTTTGGCCTCCTGGCTGCGGTTTTTGACTGGGTCCCTTGAAGTGGTCCCAGTTTGGAAAAGTTCTCAGAATTTCTTCTGACGTTTCCCTTGAATCCGCCCACACACAGCATAAGATGTCACAGCATGTTTTTGGTACATCATCACATCACGTTCACTTGTGGCTGTATAGTCTTGATCCTCAAAGGCTGGTATGACCAGCGATTTTGTCTGCAGGGAGTCTTGGGTGGGACCCTTAGGCGGATACCACTTTTTTGTAACGTTAAACACGCATTTTTTTGAACAATGGTCATGTATTGAATTGGTAGTTGTTTTGCCCAAATACACCTTTCTGCTTTTTGAAGAGCGGGGTTCAGGCTGAACACAGCTGTGGCCTTTAGACGAGCGTCTTACCAAACTCGGTGACTCAGTCATCTCGTGAGGCAAGACTGCTGTTTTACTCAAAGCAGTGATGAAGGACGTTCCCAGACGTCCGGTTCGCTATGCAGACTTTTAGGGCTTGGGGGTTTCATTCAGCCCACTAAAAGCTGAACAGTTAAAGCGGATCTGAAAACGGGCAGCCCTGATCTCACGGAGGTGATGCAACAAGCCCTGAGGCCGGAAGTGGACCTTGGAGCGCGAGGTTCTCAATGCTTCGGCGCGCTCCCGCAGTGTGAAACCGAGCCGGGGGAGACATGGGCCTTGGGATGGGGGACCTGATGGACAAGTTCCACTTCGCAGCAGTTGGGATGAAACCTGGGTGAAGCCCGATTGCAGCTGCTACTGTAGCTGGAGTTTGTCCATCCACTGCATTGCCGAGGAAGCCAAACTTGTGCAATGTTGTTTGATTCTAGGCAACACATGGTTGTTGAAACATGTTTTTTTTTTTTTTTTTACATTTTTGCTTATTGTGGTTTGGTGGTTGAAATCCAAATCCACTTAGCTGCTAAAATTTGAAAATGTTTGCTCCCCAAACCCAACGTCAATGCCTTCCACCTCATCGTTGACCAGCCAAAGACTGCCCGGAAGGGATCAGCTTGATTTTGAGAAGGAGAAGCCTCTGGAGTGATCTGCTGCATATACTTAGACAAGATTCTCCATCTTGGATGATTCCAGAAAACCCTGCAGATACCTCCCGACATCCCGGAAGATTTCTTCTTTCACTTGGCCCCTTGAATTTGTTTCAGGGTACCCGCTCAACGGATTCTACTGAAACGGTCCGATCGCTTGCAGATGAAAATGGCAGTGTGTTTTCAGATCCCATTTCGGAACCAACATTTGCTCGAACCCATACCTTCCATTTGCTGAAATGAGTATGTTCTATATTTTCCATTGTGGGTTTCAAAGTTGGAGTCTACGACTGGACATATTTTCATGTTATTGTCCAGGAGGCGTAAAGATGCAAATCGGAAAATACGTCTCACATCGCACTCTTCACGTTGCCCAAAGCGGCCCGGTTCCGCACAGAGTCATCCCCTAAAAATCCGATTCCGTGCGCTAACTGTCCCTCGTGAGAATTTCGCAGTCCCACATTTTGCAGGGCTCCCTATATTTCCCCTTTTTTGATGGCTTTAAAGATCACCTTTTAGGCGCTCTGGCTCACAGTCATTGTGCCTCCGGGTGAGGTGCGCCCTGGGGTGGGCAACCTTCGGGTGTCCATCGTCCACTACCCCCCTCTCCTGGGGGGTGCCCTGCCCCGCTCTGGTCCGGCTGCCCCTGGCGGCCCTCGCTCCCTGGCGTGCGGTGCTGTTTGTCGTTGCTCCGCTTGTGCTGCGTCATGGTGACCCGGGACCAGTCGCTTCGTGCCACACTTGCGGCTCTGTCGGATGCTGCGCTCGGCAGCATCAGCTCCGTGCTGGAGGAGGGGATCTTTTTCCCTGGGATCCGTGGTGAGGATTGGGGTGGCTCTCATCACATGGAGTTTGAGGTCCTCCAGGAAACCCAGCCTGGTGAGTGGAGTGCCCAGGTCATCCAGGCGTCGCTGCCCTTCGACCTGAATCCCACCCCGCTTCCCGCGGCCAGGCTTCAGACTTTTCTGCTCCGTGCCCCCCTTGAGTTTCGAGGTGTTCTCGAACCCGCCCGGGTCTTTCGTGCCCTCAATGTCACTCTGCATCCTGGGATGCCTCTGGTTGCCTCTTTGCACGAGGCCACTCCTGTCTGGGCTGTCCCTATTCCGCTCTTACGCCACCCCCTTGCGGTCGTGCACTTGTTTGCTGGAGGGTTCCGTGGATGGACCCAGGCCTTGCGCACGTTGGCTAGGCAGCATGACTTCTCTGTTGAGACTGAGGTGCATGTGGATGTGGATGATGAGGCCATCAGCACTTCGGAGCACACGGATGCTGGCAATGTGTGCCGCAACCCGGCCTTCCTCCGTGCTTGGCATGTCAAGCCGCAGTCTTTGTCCATCCAGGCGGACGTTGCGGACCCGGCCATCTTGAATGCTGTCTCGCGCTTTGGAGCGGCTTTGGTTACTGCCTCCCCGCCGTGCCCGCCATGGTCCCGTGCTCGGACGGGCTCTTCGCCTGCCCCTGGGTTGGACAGTGAAGCGGGACAGGCCTTCCTGGACCTGTTCTTGTTCTTGCGTCGCGTCTCTCCCTTGGGAGTCGCACTTGAGTGTGTGGACATGCTCCCCCGGCATCCGCACTTCCGGATCTTGCAGGCTCTTGCTGTGTGGGCGGGATATGTGTTCCATTTCCAGCAGGTGCACGAGCATGCCGGCTCTGCTGGTGCTAAGCGGCTTCGGTGGTTGGCCCTTCTGTTGCGCAGTGATGTTGCTCCCACCTTCCAAGCTCCCGCGGTCCCGCCTCCCATCCCTCGGCCCATCCCATGGACGGATCCGTCGTTCAACTTTGAATTGCCTGAAGCGATTGCGGCCCAGCTCTACTTGACGGACCAACAGCGAATTGTCCTGTCCAACCCGGCTTTGCTTCCGGCGTCCTTTCAGCCGTCCAGTGGAGCTCTCCTCCCTCCCGATGAGGTCCTTGCTTTGCGCATTGCCGACCCTGCTGCGCCGCTGCGTACCTTGTGTGCCCAGTACACCAACCAGCACAATCTCGCCCGGGGGGCAGTCGAGGAGCGTGGTATCTTTGCGCAGATTGTGATGCGGCATGGCATTCCCAGTTTCTTCTCTCCACTTTTGTGGCTCGGGCTACTCGGTGCAACTGAGCCCCTCGTGCTCCCTGTGGAGGTGACCCCCCTGTTCCGGCTCCTGGGCAATTCTATCAGTGTCCCGCATGCTGCCCTTCCGCTGGCTGTCTTTTTTGTCACTGTCGGCTGGGTTGGCTTAACTCCCATGGATGCGGTTGATCGGGTTTGGGATGCTCGCTTGCGCCCGGAGCAAGTCTATGTTCAGGTCGTCCGGAACCGCCTCAGTTTTGGCGGCCTTGCTGACCTCCTTCGGTTTGCGGTCCGAGACATGCATGAGATTCGCACCAGTGATGAACACGCTGGCATTCTGCTGGGCTACGCGTGGTGCCCCCTCCTGCTGGGTGTGACAAGTGCGGGGCGTCTGCGCTGTCATGTGGGGCTGGATTCCGCCAGCGCTATTGCGGTTGTTTTTCATGCCAATGCCACGGTTGCGCTTCTCCTTATCGCTCTTCGCATTCCCTACGCGGTGATCCCCCATGTCATGCTCATCAACCATGCGGGAGCCCACTCTCACACTCAACCCGCGGCCCCATTGTCGGGCACCTCGGCCTTGATCGTTCCTGCCCTGCCTACGCATCCGGCTGGTCTCCCCGTCCCGCCGCCCCCCCTTGCGATCGGTCAGGACGTTGTGCTCCGCATTGTCGATCCGTTCAACCGGGTCCATGAGGTCTCTGTTTTGGCCAATGCTACTCTGTGGGAGATTGTTTGGTCGCTGCCACTGCCAGATCCTCTGCTGGCTCGCGTCCGCCCATACGCCAATCATGTGCCCGTTGACTTTGACACTACTGCCGATCTCTATGCCCAAGCTACTTTGCGCTTGCGAGTATTTCCACTTCCTGGAGGTGGTCTTGGATCTCAGGCGGAGATGACGGACATCTACTCTGATGAGGAGGCCGATGCTGCCCCCCCGGGCCTCGGTCATGCTGACCCCTGGCTGGTGTCAGACCCTTGGTCCTCCGACCCGCCCTCACGCAAGCTTGCCAAGTGGGAGGATCTCACCCTCCCCTCGGACCACTTCTTTGTCTATGATGACCCGTCAGAGGACTTCCCGATCCCTCGGGTCACTCCCAAGCAGCTGCTGGGCCCTCATCTTGGGGGCATTTCGTTCGTTACGCGGGCTAGCCTTGCCGATGTTGTGCGTATCACTGCTGTTATGCCTACTGTGTTGGTGTGCCCGGGAGCAGCACCCCTCAACCCCCCTCCGCTCCCCTCGGATGCTGCTGTTGAGGGCCCCATCCAACTGACGCTGTGCGACCCGCAGGCCAAACAGGAGTACCAGCGGGTCGTGTTTTTGATCCACCTTTGCCCTGGCATTGCTTATCGCCCTGCGGCCAGCATCACCACCATTGTCGATGTGTCTGAGTATGTTGAGCTTGTTGTTGAGAGGTATCAAGCCTTGCTCCCGGAAGCTGAGTGGGCCCCGACTGAGGCTGGTGGCATTGCTGCGGCCAGGGCCTCCTTTGAGGCCTCCTTTCCTCAGATCCGCATCGAAGGAGCTTACGCCCACCGGGTCCTCAGAGACTCTCCCCAGGGCCTCGGCAAAGTTGTGCAGTTCATCATCAAAACCCCGGCGACCATGCGCCTCTCTGCCCTTCGCTTTTCCGGAGCCTCTCTCTGGTTTGTCCGCGACTACTTGCCAAGGGGAACCTCCCCCCTCGACCACTCACCGGTCACCCGCTTCTGGTCTCTTACTCGGGATGGAGTAGCTGACGCCTACACCTTGGGCAGACCTTTGGCTGGATTTGCTGGCCTTGCGCCCCACAAGCGCGGGGTGGCTATTCGCATCCTCCATCGCCATCTTGCGGATGCCCGGCGTACTTTGTTGCAAGGAGATGACAGGTTCTGTGAGCTGAACTATGCAATTGTTGCCCGCCTCCACTTCACTGCGGAGGGATTTCCGTTTGGTGCCGCCCCCCCTGCCATCGTTTCCGCTGTCCATCGGGCCACCGGAATTGCTGTGATCCCTCTCCGGAGCTTTCGGAAAGGCGGTGTCCTCACTTGGGTTCTCGGCTTTCCCAGCCCGCCCTCCTTGTTGCGCTTCCCCATCACGGCTGCGGGGCGTACCGCCGAAGTCTTGCTTGCTCCTGAGGCCCCTCTTGAGAAGCCCAAGGGTCACGGGAGGCAGCCCAAAGGAGGGAGGGTCGGCCCCCCCCCCCCTCCACCCCTCCTTCCTCCGTCTCTGTTGGCTCTTCGGTCTCCACCCAGGACCCGAACAACAAGCGTATCGACCCGATGGAGCACCGCATCTCCGCGCTTGAGCACAAGACGGACAACCTCGCAGACCAGCTGCGTTCCCAGCACCAGGAGGTCGCCGGCCAGCTCACCAGGATCCTTGGCGCCCTCAAGCCAACCCGGGATCAGGGTGCCCCGGACCCCCCGACAAAGGCGCCCCGTGTGTCGTCTTGACTAGGCCGTGGGTCTCGGCCTTTGCATGCTTTCTCTATCGCTCCTGTCTTTTGGATCTTCTCTGTCTTTGTTGCCTGTTGTGCCCCTGGCGCTTCGGCTTTCGATTCCACGTTGGGTTTTCCGGGTGAAGGCCCCTTCATCCTTGGGTCTCACAACATTGGTAGTTTGCACTCGCACCCGGAGGTCTTGTCCTCTGTCGGTCATCTCCTGTGTCTTCAGGAGACCCGGATCTCCGATGCCAATGTTCGTACTTTAACCTTCCAGGCCAGCCGGAAGGGCTTGTCCCTTCTGCCTGGGCCCCTCCTGGCCCATTCTCAGGATGCCCGGGGGGCGCTGCGTGCGGGTGGCGTTGCAGCTCTTTCACAAAATTGTGCTGTGCGTGCGTTGGAGCTTGAGGCTGATCACAGTGGTCTCCTGCCCCAGCTGCTTGCAACTGGCAGAATTCAAGTTTTTTGGATTGCCTTTGGCGGTGTCCATGCCCTGTGCGTCAATTATTATGCGTCGACCCGGGCTGCCAGGAGTGAAGTCCTTTTCGAGAACAATCGTACCCTTACGTCGGTGGTTGAGCTTCTTGCCAAATTCCCTGGTGTCCCACACCTCATTTGTGCCGATTTTCAGGCCACCCGGCCGAGTATCCGGCTGTTGCTGCTGCGCTTGCAACCGGGCGGTGGCTGGACCCGTTGGACCAAGTTGATGAACATGGGGCCTCGGTTCGCCCTCCTACCTTTTGCCGTGACTCAGCTTGGCCTGCTGAAGCCCCTGTTACCAGCATTGATTCCGTCCTCATGAACGACGTGGCGTGGAGGTCGCTCAGTGCGTGCCGTCTTGATGATTGCGCGGGTTTTCAGCATGCGGCCCTGCATCTGGAGTTTGCTTGGGATGCGACGATACCTGTTGCTCCGCGGTGGGAGCACCATGCTCTTTTGCACCTTCATGCCTTACAATCCCCGGAGGATAGGCACCGTATTGCTGAGGATCTTTGGAACGCGACTTTTGCCCGCCGGCTGCACTCCGGCTCTTCGGCCGAGGAGTTGTTAACCCTTTTTCATGACTTTTCCATTGCGACCCTCACTGCAGCGGGTGCTACTTGGAGCCATGGCCCCCGTACGAGGGGTACGCTCCCCCTCCTTGTTGCCTCCCCTGTCACGAAGAAGGCCTCTCGGGAGGCCGCCAGGGATGCTATGTGGGCCAAGCTCTTGCGCCTTGTCAGGGAGCTTGATCATCGGCTGCCTCGTTTTGCCAATGCCTCTCCGGGGGATGCGGCTGCTACACGTTCCGTGTTGGCCAAGGCTCGTCGGCTTGCGCGCGAGCTCCGTCTTCGTGTGGGCCAGTGGCTTGCTGCCCCTGAGCTGCTCCCCAACTTGCACAGGGCCATCCGGGCTGCGTGGCACTTGGAGGTTGACCGTCGAAAGCAGGCGGCCATTCGGGCTTGGCGTTCGCGCATTGCAGGTAGTGCTGCTGGTAAGGGCAAGGAGGTCTTCGCCCACCTGCGTGCTCAGGGCCCCCTGCCCCGGTCCAATGTCATCACTGACCAGGACAATCGGCCCTTGCACTCTCCTGCCCGCGCTCTTTCCTTTGCGGCGGACCAGTGGAATGGCATCTTTGGATGCCATGATCCCCCCCCCCGTTGACACGGCCCTGGCCCCGTTCCGCCCGCTCCTGGAGGCTCGGGCCATTCCCTGCCACATTCCACACATCACTGCGGAGCACCTTGCGGCTACGTGCAAGCGTCGCAAGCCCTCGGCTGCCGCCGGGCTTGATGGTTGGACTCCAGGCTCTCCCCGTTCAGTGCTTTGTGCCCCTCGCTGAGCTCTTTCGCAGGATCGAGACTGGCCTGTGCCAACTTCCCCGTATTTTGGCAACGGCCCGTCTCGCTGTCCTGAACAAGGGTGATTCCGACAAACCGCTGTCCAAGCGGCTCATTGCGGTCCTCCCGGCCCCCTACATCTTGTGGAGCAGTACACGGTTCGCACACACGGCTGAGTGGCAGCAGCGTGTTTTCCCTGCTGCCTTGTGCGGTGGCATCAAGGGCCGTCAGTGTCGGGACGTCACGCACACCCTCGCCCTCATCCATCACGAGTGCCATGCCACTGCTGTCCCCTTTGCTGGTGTGCAAGTTGACCGATCCAAGTGTTTTGATCGTGTCGTCCCTGAGATTGCCGCTGAATGCCTTGCTGCGCTCGGTTTTCCTCGGACGATCCTGCGCCTGTGGACCTCGATGACTGACCAGCTGACGCGCTACTTGATGTGGCAGGGCAGTGTTCATCCTGCCCCCCTCACCAACCGCAATGGCATCCCCCAGGGCTGCTCTTTCAGCATTTTGGCCATCAACGGCATTATGACTGCGTGGTCGCTGGTTGTGCAACAGGTGCCTGGTGTTCGCCCCTTTGCCTTCATTGATGATACGTACCTGATTACTCAGGAGACTTCTGACCTTGAGCAGTTGCCGGTCGCCTTTCAGGTTTCTCAGCTTGCTGATGCGGTGCTGGGCCAGATTTCCAACCCGGCTAAGTGCGGGTGGTGAGCGACGATCGCCACGCCCCTCCCCTGGCCCTCTCTTTTGAGGGCATGCCTCGCCTTCAAGTGCTTCGCCCTTTGGGTGTCACTCTCCACCTCAACCAGCGCGGTACCCCTGGCTTGAGGGACACGGCGATCGACCGTTTCCGTGAGGCCATGCGGGCCATTGACACCCTCCCGGTCCCACCCAAGGTCAAGGCTCGATACGTTGCTTCTAAGGCCATATCGGTCCTTGCTTACGCTCCTGAGCTCAACGTCGTCCCGGGCAGGGTGCTGGACACCTTGTGCGCTCGGGTTGCCAAAACTTTGTGGGGCAAACGGCCGCATTGGCGTCATCGTGATCTCCTCCTGTCTGTTGTGTATCCGGCCCATCTTGTCCATCCGGTGTTTGCGCTGGCCATCCGGGTCATCTCCAATGTGGTTGCCTCTGTGCAGCAGGTTCCGGAGTTGTCACTCCTTTGGTCGTTAGCCTTCACCAATGCCCGCCGCCCGCGTGCTGCTCTCCCTGCCCATTTTGAGCATGCTTGTCGGGCCCTTGGTCTTGGGTTCCAGGCCCCTGATGTTCTGTCCGTGCTTCCAGGTTTGTCTTTTTCCCTCAAGCACACCCCCCGTCGGCTCCTTGTCCGACTGCTGCGGTGGGCTGCCCCTCTGCAGGCTTACCGCCTTGCGTGTGCCTCTGATCGGAAGGACATCGTGTGCGGCCCCACTGGGGTCCTGGATGTTCATTTGACGGCGATCCCGTGGCGCCTCCCTCCACGCGATGCGTGGCGGGCCTTTGCGCGCGCCTTTCCCCTTGATCCTGTGGTTGCCGAGGCGGTCGTTACCGGCTCCGCCCTCCCTGCGGACCGGCTTTTCCGTGCTGGGTTTGCGGACTCCCCCCAATGTCGCTTTTGCAGCCGGACCATTGAGACTCTGCAGCACCTTGTGGAGTGCCCCAGCGTTGCCTCCTCCCTTGGACACCCGCCCCCCCTCCCGCCCGGACAGGGCACGGCCTTTGCTACCCATGCTTTGGTCGAGCTCTCCCCTGCCTTGCTCGGATGGCTTGTACATAGGAGCGCCCCTAGCCCACTGTGCTTGGTTCACCAAGCTGTTGTCCCGCGCCATGGCTTCGTTGAACTCTGGACGGATGGCTCTGCATTTGATTGCACCCATCCTCTGTGTGCGGTTACAGCCTATGCGGTTGTCGATGCTGACCGACGCACGGTCGTCGCTGGTGAGGTTCGTGGGGCTTTCGCCAACAACTATGTTGCAGAGATTGCGGCGATCGTGATGGCCGTCCATCGTGCAGTTGCTTCAGTGTGCATCTATACAGATTGCAATGCGGCGGTGCAGGTGTGGCAGTCTATGCGGGTGTCCCGAACCGTCCCTTCGCATGCTGCGGCGGCTGACCTGTGGACCCTTTTCTGGGAGATCGTGCACCGCAAGCAGGCTGCCTACCAGGGTTTTGCGGTCGAGCTGCAATGGACGCCCGCTCATCAGGACTTGGCCCAGCTTCGTGGACGGGCTCTTCATCATGCGTTGTGCAATGATGCAGCTGACCAGCTGACCGGGCGGCCAAAGCGGTTGCCTCAAGCTTGCAGCGGGTCCCCATGCGTGAGCTGGACTCTTTGTTCTATGCGACTTGGAGGAGGCAGCGGTGGCTTCAGTAGCTATACAAGCTGCTGCCGGAGTGCAGTCCGTTTCTTGCGGCCGAGGAGGGTGACCCGGGGCTTGGTCAGTGCGAGCCCCCTCCGCGGGAGCCGGATGCTCGCACGGTTTCGTCTGTTGTTCGGCTCCCTTGGGAGCCGCCGGGGTGGTGGTGCCACGCTCCCCGGCAGTGGGCCGCGGTTCGCGACTTCTTTGCGCATGCTGAATGGCGGGTTGGGGACTCGGAGTCCATCTCCTTGCACGAGCTTGTCATCTACATGAACCACCGCTTTCCGCTGGCGGTGCACACGCCTGGACGTGTCACGGTGGTTGCGGCCCAGGTCAAATGGGCCCGCAAGGCTCTGGGGGCGATCCGCGGGCGGTGCGGTGACCCTTCGCCTGGCGTGTGGAAACCGTCGCAGCAGCGGAGCTTCGGCGTGTGCTTTCCCAAAGGCATGTACGCCGGGGCCGCCTCTCTTGTGGTGTCTGGCGGTGAGCGCGAGCTGCTCGCGCAGGCTTTGGCTCGCGTCCATCGCAAGGGGCGGACGCCCCGCGATTGGGACTTTGCCCTTGGCTAACACGGCCAAGGTGTGTTTTGGCCTCGGCGCCGGCAGGCCCGGAGGTCGGCTCTCGCTCGACGCGTGCGCCTGTGAGATAAAGATCACCTTTTTGGACCTTTGGAAGGGAGTTCCCTTTGGGGTGATGTTTAAACGGGAAGTATAGGGAGCCCTGACCCCCACAACTTCCAGGCACCTGTCGCACTCTTTCGGTCCTGACAGGTTTTTTCGCCTGGCTTCTTTGTTCTTTTTTTGACCATGTTCAGTCCTTCGGTTTTTCGTGGGCTTCAAAAAGCGCGCGCCTTTTTTGTTTGACGAATTTTCTGCCAGGGAGCTGTCTCACATCTTCTGCGCGCGGGCCAAGCCTCGCGATGTTCGGCGCCTCGATCCGTCGCCGCCAGGCGCGGAGAAAACCGCCCCAGCGGCCCAGCGCCTGGGTGGGGGCGGCCAGGCGGAGGTGCAGACTGGACAGCCACAAGGCGGTTGATCGGGGGAAATGGGTTGATGCTGATCCCAGTGGGGCGGATGTGGCGGATGTGGGGCAAAATCCCAAGCACCAGGAGAAAACGCGGATTTTTTTGGTGCATGTGTCCATTTACCAGGGCAAGCCATTGGGTTACCCAGGTTTTGTTTGACCCGCAGCCATAATGTTGATCCTTTTTTTTTGATCAGCCGACCTTTTTATTAATATGGGGTCAACAGTATCCTCAAAACAATGAAATTCAATCCACCAACTCAGGATTGCCTGATAATTTGGTGGAATTGAGACAGTGGTTTGGGTGGTTTGGGTGGTTTGGGTGGTTTGGGTGGTTTGGGTGGTTTGGGTGGTTTGGGTGGAGCAACTTTGGTTTCCGACTAATTGGCGATTTGGAGCCCGGTGATTTGGTTAAGGAGGGTTGCTACTTAGCCTTTGCAACCAGGGGTTATCCCCAAACCAACAACCCAAATATTTTTTTGGAATTGAGTGAGTCAGTGGTCTGGGTGGTTTTGGGTAACTGGTGGGGTGCTTTGGCGAGTTAATTCATAACCCCCAACCAGGGTGCTGAGACTGATTCATATGGTGACCCCAGATTGATCAATGGAGGTGAAAGCACTGTAAGAGGATCCGGACTCCTTGAGGGGAATCATCGTCCCGCCGTTTTTCTTAAATTGTTTTCAACACGGCGGATCGATTTGGGGTTGACATCACCAGTATAGTTGAAGGATTCCTACAAAGGTGCCCCAAACACGACATTCTTCTACACACACGCACACACCCGAGTGCTTTTGACTGGGGTTGGCAATGTGGCTTTCGAAATTCAGTCTCCGCGCTTGTTGAAGATAAGGTAAAAACGGCAACCTCCCCCAAAAAGCAAGTGATTTCCATCTAGGTTCCCTTCAAACAAAGCCAAACAAAACGGGAACCGTCAAAATCACACCAGTAGAGGCTGTTGGATGGTTTTACACAAAACCACTTCGAACCAACTCACTTTAGTTGTTCCCTTGAGAAATTCCAGAAACACCGCTTTTGGGTGTGTCTTTTTTAGGGACTCCCCTCCTTCCCCCCAAAAGAAACATGGTAGTGTTCGTTTCTGTTTCCCTATAATCCCAAACAAAGTAGTTCAGTTCTCTCACAAAAAGGCAACACCCACTTCCATTTTCTTAAGACTATGCTGTTATATTCCCCTGTTGGTTTTAAAAGGAATCGATTTCACCCCTGGAATTATTTTGAGTTTTTCGAGGGGTCTTAACCAAATGGAGGGATCTTAACCATTTTGGGGTAGGTGCACCACCCATTTTAGTCTATTTTAGTGGGCATTGAGATGTTCACTGGGGGGTAACCGGGGTTTTGACCCATGGCCATATGTTTGCAACCGCCCCTGTTGAGTCGCAGGTGCTTCAGCGCCAGCTCTTCCCCTTCCAGCTGGGCCGCTTGCGCCGCGCCGCTCGCTTCGGTTAGGGGGAGGTCTGGTGGGGTTCGAGGCATTGTTGTTGGGAAATATTTTACATGTTTGCTTATGTGGTTTACTGGGAAATCCCCAGAACTGCTAAAATTTGAAAATGTTTGCTCCCCTTCCAACGTCAACCAAGATATTGGGTTCGTCTCAACAGTCTAGGGGTTGATTTTCCTTTTCCATTCTTTTCCGGCTTCCTTCTTTGGCCCTGTGAGGTTCTCCTGGACCACCTGGAGCGGATCTTCGACCTCGGCGCGGTGTACCACGACTTCTACGCCGGCGCCTTGGCGGAGCACGGCGGGCCGCTGCTTTTCCGCGCGGCGCTGGCGAAGCGCCTCGGCGAGTTCGCGGCTCGGACTTGGACATGTCAACTGCGTTGAAACCAGAGCTCCACCACCCACCGATCTCGTGTTTTTTTTTTGGATCCCTGTTGTTGGCTGTTCTTGTTGTCTCGTGTTTTTGGTTTTGGCCCCTGTTGGTTTTGGATTTGTGTGGTTTGACCCTTGAAACCAGAGCTCCACCGATCTCGTGTTTTTGTTTTGGATCCCTGTGAGTGGAATTGTTAGGGGGAAACCCCAGAGCTCCAGTACCAGTGTCATGTTTTTGTGTTGGATCCCTGTTGGTTTTGTTTTTGTTTGGTGTGTTGGCGACTTGATTCCTTTTTTTTGGGATGGTCTCTTTAAAGTCAAGGGTGCCCGGAACTCCGGTGACCGGAACTCTGGCGTGCCTCTTAGGGAGTTCAAAGCAACTCAAAAAGTGCGGCCTGTTTTGCCCATGCACCTCTGGGAAGACCTCTGATCTGACTGTGCGCACCTTACCATCATTAGTGCTTTTTGGTTGTGTTGCTCCCGGTTTACCTGGTGGTTTAATCATCTACCAGGGCCATCTATTTCCCCTAAAAGGACACCTCTGGGACCGGGGTTTGTGCCTCGATGGTTGAGTTAGGAGCGCTAGCATGACTGGCGAACGGCTGAACACATTCGTCGCTTACTCATACGGTTTTTGCACGCTGAGCATGGGGCACAGGGATCGCTGAGCACAACTTCATTCTCGTTGACTTGCGAACTGGAGATCTTCTGGGGGGTCAGGTTTTTGACTGTCTCGAGTCTGCAATGATCTTGGCTTCCTTTTAAGACCAAAGAGGGTCCCCAAAAAGTACAGATCCAAGTGATTCCCAACAGTTCGCTGTTCTGACCATTTCGTTTTGGCTACCAAACCCCGCAACAACACCGCAACCCCATTCTAATTGTTTAGGCCCTTCAATTCGAGAACCAAGTTTTGGTGGCTTACGGAACTGAATTCCATGGGGGTTGCGCCTAGGCCATCGGTGAGGAAGGCGACCCGGAGGCGGGATTGTAAAATAACCCCGCGCCTTTTAATTATGAAGGGACGTGCCCCTGAATGGCGCTTGCTTAAAAAACCCCGCAAAACGATAAGAGTAAAAAAAACGATAACAGGGCTTTCATGGGGTTGTTTGAAGTGCACCTTTCCATCTTGTCGGATGTTGCTGTGGAGGTGGCTTTGGGCTTATAGGTGCTGTTTTGCCTGCTGGGTGCCATGGCCCCGGCTGTGGATGTAATGTCGGTGTGCCAGCCTCCGGCATTGGACGTGCCGTCCGTGTGCCACGTCAAAGCCTGTGATTTGGCAGCACTGGTGCACAGAATGAGGACTGTCACCAAATTGGCATCAATTTTGAATACTGGTTGCAAGGTACGGGCAAAATGAAGCCCGCCGTATGGAGCGCAAAGTGGGCCGTTTGGACAACGCAGTGTGACTCTCGGCAGGGTGGGAAGCATCAGTGCCACCATTGGCATGCTTGTGTGTGTGTATTTGTGTAAGTCGCATATTGGGACTGCATCTCGCCCAAGGACAGCGAGATGTTGACCAACGAGTTTCGGCCGAGGGCTTCGCACCATGTGTGCATCCTGCCACGTGTCAGCAGTTAATGAGGGAGAAGTGTGGCTCAGAGGATTGGATTCGCATGTGACCCAATCTGTTTTGCTTGGCCGAGTTACCAGAACGCCTGGCTGGAATCATCGTGCCTTTCAAAAACAATGCGGAAGCTTCAGGACTGGCCATTGGTCCGCCAGTGGCTCTAAAGACACATTAGGGCCCCCGCTTCAAAACGGACTAGTAGCTCCCCAAAACCAGTAGTTGGCAGCCGCACAGAGTGTTCTTGGGCCTGTCCTCAGGAGGCACCGCCGAAGAAAGCGGCGTGTGCTCACGCGCCGGCTGGTTCAGCTGCAGCGCCGGCGGCACCCGCACCTCTGGCTTCTGCACCGGCGGCTCAGGCACCCATGGAGGCGGCGGCTCAGGCACCCGCACCTCTCACCTCTGCACCGGTGGCTCAGGCACCCGCACTTCTTACTTCTGCACCGGCGGCTCAGGCACCCGCACCTCTCACTTCTGCACCGGCGGCTCAGGCACCCGCACTTCTTACTGCTGCACCGGCGGCTCAGGCACCCGCACCTCTCACCTCTGCACCGGTGGCTCAGGCACCCGCACTTCTTACTTCTGCACCGGCGGCTCAGGCACCCGCACCTCTCACCTCTGCACCGGCGGCTCAGGCACCCGCACTTCTTACTTCTGCACCGGCGGCTCAGGCACCCGCACCTCTCACCTCTGCACCGGCGGCTCAGGCACCCGCACTTCTTACTTCTGCACCGGCGGCTCAGGCACCCGCACCTCTCACCTCTGCACCGGCGGCTCAGGCACCCGCACTTCTTACTTCTGCACCGGCGGCTCAGGCACCCGCACCTCTCACCTCTGCACCGCTGGCTCAGGCACCCGCACTTCTTACTTCTGCACCGGCGGCTCCGGCTCAGGCTCCTGCACCTGCTTTGCAGTCACCTGCTGCCAAGCTGACAGAGCCTCTTGCTCAGAGCACGCCCGCAAAGCGACCGTTTGCAGCTGTGGAAACTTCGCCCGTGCAGACAAAGGGGTACAAACGCTTCCGTGCAAAGATGCCAGAGCCAGTGGAGTTTCAGGAGGCCCTGCAGGCGGGTCATGTCCGCGCGCGCGCGCGCGTGGAAGACGCCTCTTGCTTGGCGCGGCAAAACACTTAAGAGAGCAGCGTGCTTTGTTTCAGGTTTGTGTCCCTGGTTACAAGCCATTTACAGCCACGCCAAACCATGAGTTCTAATGCCCCCTAAAGTAGCAAACTTCGGGAAGCGGACCCATCGTGCGCCGGCGAAGCACCATTTTTGATCGGGTTGATTGGCAGGCGGCTGCTGCCCTGACGGATGATCAGCGCCAGCTGATCTTGGAGCTGGCTACTGATGTGGAGGGTGGCAACACAGGCCGCGTGGCGTACAGCAAGAATCCAACGGAGCACTGCAAGGTGTGCGGGGGGCAACGACATCAAGTGAAGTGGGGCGAGGTGCGGTCAGCTGAGCGCACCCAGGCTAGCATTCCGCGTGGGAGCTTGTGCTATTGCTGCGTCAGAGCCGCGAAAGATTTTGGCTTGAGATGCCGATCGTACACGGTGTACCGCAAAGCGGGCGCCTTGTCAGTGTGGCGCGCGCGTTCCCTTCTGGAGCGCAGAAAGCTCAGCAATTACAGCGGGGACACCTGCAATTGCGGCACTTGCTTGGGTTGATTGTGCATAGCAGGTTCTGGGGCAGTTTTTGTAACTGCAGCAAGCGCCGGGGGACACGGGCAAAAGAACGCAGCGTTGACTGGCCCTTTTCCCGCCTCTGGACAACGAAGCCCAAAAACACACCTTAGTAATAAACCAGGTGTTCGGAGGGCACTAGCCGACTGGCAGCTCAGAGGATGTCATTAGTAGGCACCAAGAGATTTTCCAACAAATCTGGCTCGGCGCAAGTGGACTATTTTCCTTTAAAAGGGACTCTCTGGTGGTCCATGTTAGTGGACAGGGTAATTGTGTTCTGTGGCTGTTTTAAATGGACACCTCAAGGAAAACCACTTATTTTGAATTGCTCATATGGCTGGGGTCTGTTCGCATTCACTTGTGGCAGCTTAATTTGCGTCGTGGGGCCAGGCCGGCCGAGTTGGTGGGGGGACTCCGGGCTTTTGGCAGAGCGCTTGCAATTGGGTATGTCTCAAAACAGGGCATGTCTCCAATTTCTTGTTTTCCTTTTAGCTTCCCTGAAAAAAACGAACCTGAGAAAGGGTACCCTGATCGGAGCCCATGTACTTTGACTGTACTTTGGCGCAAGCGTTTGGACACCATTTCGTTCATATAAATATAAAATCACAAATATATATATATATATATATATTTATGTGTGTGTGTGTTGCATACATATGTATATGAGGATTGCCCCAAAACCCCCATGCACCGGGATTTCTATTTTTTTGGCTAAAGGAGGCGGAAAACCCGAGCCGGCAGGGGGATTCGAGCCTGGGACCTCTGTTTTGCAACGCCGGCTCCCCGAAGACTATTTCTAGTGGAACTCGGGCAAGTTGTAGGCGCGCAGTTTGTCCACGCATGTTCTGCGGTCAGACTCGAGGCCTAGCGTGCCAAAAGTGTGACTTTGGAGCACAGCAGCCATCCCGAAACGGGGTTCCAAAACGATACCGGAACGATAACGAAAACGATAACGTTTGGTCACAAAATGTGACTTGCCACAGCATGGCCCACATCGCCAACATGCCTATGCTCTGGCTACAGGTTTTACACGGAGGCGTGGAAGCGTGTCAACGGACAGAAGTGCAGCTAGCTAGTGCTACTGAAGGTAAGCTTTCTGGTCTGCCGTTGCTCTTGTTGGGCGCGCCCCCCCCAGAGCTATGGATGCGGCTGCGGTCTCGCGGCTCCAAAAGACATTGCTGCAGCACCCTCAAGTGGGCCCCAGATTGAAGGCGCTGGCGCAGCGCGCGGTCCCTGGCAAGGCCAAATTTGCGGACTTGACCAAGGAGCAGCAGAGGTGGATCTTCAACGCGCTGAAGAACAAGTCGCTGAAGGAGCACTACCATTTGGAGGAGGGTTCTGGAAACATTGTGGTCAAAAGCGCTCTCGGTCTACTGGCTGTGCTGGGCGACGAGCAGGCTGCCGCAAGCTCAGTGGTTGACCAGGCTGTTGTTGCTGCGGAAGCACCGGCGCCAAAGGCGAGCCCAGCTCCAGAGGAGAGCCGGGCGTCGGCGCCCCGGAAGCGCAAAATGACAGCAAGCACTTCCAGAAAAAAGAGAGCTCAGCCAGCGCTTGGCAAGAGATGCTCCGCGGCTGCAGACCTTGCCCGGCGGGTGCTACACCACGGTCGGCAGCAGCGAGGCTTGGTGTCAAAGTTGCTGAAGAAGCTTGTGGCGCGGGTCGACACCACCTTCCCCGGCATGAAGCAAGAACTCCTACGCGACGAGCCCGTTGTTGATAATGTCATCGTGCGGACGCTTGGCAAGCTCAGAGAAGAGGCCACGCAGCGAGGTTTCCAAAGCATCGCCATTGCGGACTTGGACTTCGTTATGTCAAATGAGAGAACCTGGCCAAGGAGTTGCTTGCAGAAGCACGGCTATTGCATTGGCAGACGGGCTTGGAGGACGCTGCAAGGCGAACGTTTCCAAGGTGGCGCCACGGCGGAAAGCCGGCGGCTATGGGAACGATCCCGGCAAGGCGGAGCACCTAGCAAGGTGTCTGCAGCGACACTGGCTGTCACGCGTGCAGTGCTTGAGAGGAATTCCAAACCTGGCAGCAAGGTGGCGAGCGTCCACCAGAATGCAGATGGCAGCTTCGGCCGAGCTCGCCCAAGAGGCGACCAAGCTGACGAACGAGTGGTGCCTGGCCAGTCGCTGTTGGCAACTCCAGCCCGCATGTGGTCTGAGAATGAGGAATTGCAAAGCCTGTTCAGCCGCACCAGTTTCTACAAGGTGTTGAAGAAGCACTTTGCAGATTTTCGCGAAGGCCATCGCGACACAGATGTGTGCAGCCATTGCCAGTGCTATTGGCGGCACTTGGTCCCACGGTTTCACCAAGACTGGGCAACAGTTCAGAATGACCTCAAGAGTGTGTACCCGAACTATTTTGACCATTTCAATCCCTCGAACTTTGCCGACTGCGGAGAGGAGGCAGACGCCGCGTGCAAGTACATCAATTCTCACTGCGCCAGGTACCGCGAGGAGCGAGAGCGCAGCGGATGCGACCGATTACAGCTGCACACATTTACAGAAGCGCCGGCGCTGGTGCTGCTCCGAGGACATCGGTCTTTGCTGCGCAGCTATTTGTGGCACATGTTGTCAGCAAGGCGCCAGCAGGAGTGCTTGAAAAAGTTGATGACTCCTGAAGGTTTGCCGCTCGAGGACTCGCTCTTGGTGTTTGATTGGCGTGAAAAGATACGCTTGCCAGTGGGGCCACAAGAGACTGGAGACATGTGGCACGCCCAGCAGAAGTATGCAATCAGCTGCTTCGGGTGCTGTGTTTTTCAGTGGGAACAGCTGCCGGGAGACGAGGCCAAGATGAGGCAAACCTATTTGATGCTGATCTCAGAAATCCGTGAGCAAACTGCAGAGGCTTCCAACCTTATGCTGGAGCAGGTGCTCGCAATGGCAAATGTGTCCCGAGCTGGTTGCCTTCATTTCTTCAGTGACTGTGGCCCTCATTTTCGGAGCGCGGAGTCATTGCACCACCGAGTGATGCAAGTGTGCTTCCAGCGGAAGCAGACCGTGCGAGTCAATTTCCTTGGCGAACAGCACGGCAAGTCCTTGCTGGACGGCGCTTTTGGGACTACAGGCATGCACGGGTGGCTTGGACGCTACGCGTTGAAGAAGCCAATTCATAGCTTGGACCATTTGCTCACTGCCTTCAAAGCAGGTGCGGATGAGGCAATGGCGTTGGACCCCGAAGGCCCACGGTGGCTTTGCGAGAAGGTTGATTTCGGCACTCATCGCGCTTCTGAAGTTGGCTTGTTTGTCTCTACTGGCTTCAAGATTACACGAACATATTGCATGATGGCTTTGAAGCCTGCAAGCAGAGCGAAAAAACCAGTGGTGCACAACTTGGTCTTTTCGGACATCGCAATACCTGCTGAAGGAGCCATGTCGTATCAGATCCAGATGCACACCAGAGAAGAGCCCTTGGAGTGGAAGCGCTCGTACCTGGAAGGAGAGAAGACCTGGGAACTTGAGCCGCCGAACCCTGGAGACACCACCCAGCTGTGCCGCAAGCATGAAAGCCAGAAGGCGCGGCCGCCCCCCGATGGTCTACGGCCAGTCAAAACTTTTCACGAACGAGTACAGAGCAAGGCGCGCCGGGCAGCCCGCGACAAGGTTCGCCTGCAACGGCAGCTCCTTGCGTTGCGCGGGGAAGCCTCCCCTCAAGATGAGGGTGGTACTTCCAGCTCTGACAGTGATAGCTCTAGCGCAGAGTCTGACTAAACCAGTTAGCTTGCTGCTCGCGCTTGCTTGCTTGAGCTTCTTGGCAGAGCTACAGTCACTGCACGCTGTGCTAGCCTTCCTTTGATTTGAGCATGCACTTTGCAAACCCCTGCAAAACGATAAGAGTAAAAAAAAAACGATAACACGTTTGGGGGACAGCTAAATTGTCACGGGGTTTTCTTACAACCCCCAGTGGCTTTCTGTCTGCTGCGTCGATTTGTTTCCTTTGTTTCAGATTGGGACTGCCCGTTTAAAGCCAACTGCCAACAGACTTGGTGGCTCCCATCCATCCGGTTCCTTAGCCTTTTTTGCCTTTTAGCGTTTAGTGGTTGGATTTCCATTTAACCCACTAAAGGTTAAACTTTTAGCGGGTGATCTGAGGACAGCCCGGAATAGAGTGTCCTTTTGTCCATGGCCACCGGGGGTCTGGGGCCGCCTCATTTTGTGCGGATTCACCCAAGGGTCGGATGGTCGGACACCCTCCAAGCTAGAAATGGTGCATCAACTCCTGGGGAATTTCGAGAACCGCAAGGGTTCTACGGAACCAGATGCTTTTTTAGTGGGTGGTTCCATTACACTTGGGTGAGAGTAGATGGAATTGCAACCCATTCTTCCTGTTAGAAGGCCCGCAAGGGAATTGTGCTTCATCTACTCGCGCACTTGATAGGCCCCAAAGTTCGGGATCCCCAAAGCAAGGCTTCGGGATCCCCAAAGCAAGGCGTCGTCGGTAAACTGATCCCTCCTTTCGGCAAGCTCGCCCGTTTTGGCAAGGCGTCAACGTATGGTACCGGATGTATAAGCCTCCCCCCCCTTTCCTGAGAAGGTCGAGAAGGTTTCTCGGGGGGCCCTGTGGGGGGGCCGGTTTCAGACCCTTACTTTATTAATCCAGCGTTGACATAAGGCTGCTGCACGCATTGTGCCCCCACCCAGCCGGCCGGCCTTCCAGGGCTACGCCTATCCACAAGAGGGAGCGCCTCCAGCCCTGCCGAAGGGCGCGATTTCGCCCACTTCGGCCTTGGAGCTGGTGGGATGCCTGGAAGTCAACGTGGGTTCCAGCCGTTGATACGTTTTTGTTGGAACACTTTATGGCAATTGGCAACGGATCTTTGGACTTTAGCTTGTTCGGAAACAGTGGATTTTACATTGGACCCACACAAAGGAAAGTTGACGACACTGCTCGATATTTCCATTGTTCAAAAGGAAAGTGCTGCTTTGTCTGTGTTCTTTTTCATGCTTGTTGGGTGGGGTTAAGATATGCAGTTTCCGATTTTCATACCAGATTGGCAAACTCCTGCACCAGCTGGAATGGATCAAACATGGATACTGGGATAACCCACCAACTGGTGCGATGCGGATTTCGTCCATCCGTCCATCCGCAGTTAAGCACTTGCAGCTCCGCTTTTCATACTAGATGATTGGAATGGATCAACCATGGATATTGTGCAGGGCTCCTTAAAAGATACATTTTGCCCATTTGAAACATGGCTGTTTCCACCAAAATAAAGGGAAACCACAATTTACAAGGCAATGTTCAGGTGTTTTTCATGTAAGGATCCCTGCATGGATATTGTGATAAATTGATAAACCACCAACTCCTGCGATGTGGATGTCCCGCCCAACGGCCCAGGAAATTTCTTCTACCACGCCCACGGCCGGGAGCAGTGCGAGCCCAACTTTTGCGGCGGATCTGACGTGCCGGTGGTGCAGCTGAATCGAGTGGCACCCCTTCATATGCGGAAGGCCTTCTGCAGCATGGCGGAATGTGGACCTCGGATGAATCGGGGCCGTACCCCTTCTGTTTCATATAGGATCAATCAGGAGGATTGCAACACTCCTTTTGTTAAATAGGGGACCTTATATTGGTTTTAGGCGGTGCCTTTGATTACCTGGCACCCCGTATGGCTGTTTTTCTCTTTTCTTTCTTGCTTTCTTTTTTTCTTCCGGTTAAAGCCCAATATGTATGGCCATGTGTGCCCGCATGACCATTTCTTCCGGTCATTTGCGTATACGAAGCATATGAAACTCCTGTTGCTTACCAAACACGGAAATGTCCGTATGACCATTTGTTGGGTCCAAGGCGCTTGACGAAAACAACAGGCTGTACCCAGGTAGTGACGTTACCGCGAATCCCAGACCTCCAGTGGTCCCCAGCCGAGTTTGCCCTGGCTCCTGAGTGGTCTTCAGCACGGCTTCGGGTGCTTTCCAATTCCACAAACATGCAAAGGGGGTGGCTGTTGGGGATAGCACCGGGGCTTTGTGGAGACGTAGAGGGTTTTTGGGGGCTGCCTTTCCCCTGGTTTCAAGAGGAAGTGGGGGTTCCACACAGTGGGTTGTTTCGCAGGGCTCCATGTCTTGAACAACAAAGGTAGACTCAAAAACGCCCAGGATTGATTTTCTATGGGAGGTCAACCAGCCTTGGTCAACTGTGTATGACTGCGGAGTCTTTGCTGCTGTCCGCATATTTTCATAGCCACCTGTCGGCTGAATTTCAGCAACCTTGACCTGCGCATTGAGGAAAGTGGTGAGGCGACAGGCAATGTGAGCCACCAGCATGGAGCTAGGAAAGCATGCAGAGCAAGAAGCTTGTGTATGGCTGGGAGAGAGGGCTGGACGGGCTTGGCAATCAACGGCTCCGTTTCGAACGGCGCTACCTGTTTGCCCTAAAAGCCATCAAGGGATTGCGGGCTACAGATTGTTGGGGAAGGGCTGCGCGATAGGAATCCTTGCATGTCCTCTTGTGTTGCTCCCGGGTTGTTAAAACCAGAAGCCTTCATTTGGTGCTGTCCCTAAGACAGGCAACACCCGGGATTCGAGGGGCCGAAGTCTTTATGACAACTTCCCTCGCGCTGCAGACATGAGCAACTGACAAAATGACTGGTAGTCTACCTTTAGTTGGGACAGAATTTATGGGAAAAATATACCGTCCCATTGGGGGAAACAAATATAGCCACGATGAACATTTACTCTCATCTACTGATACTATAGTAATTGAAAGGGACATGGGGCACGCTTGCCACATTGTCATTACATAGGATGTTACTCACCAAGATCACATCTCAGGCGCAATTGTCATAACGCCCCGTGTTTTTTCGTGTGCACTATTATTCTGGAACACCCCTATGGACACCATGAAATCATAAGGGGCTTCCCATTTTTGTGACAACCCAAATCGTTTTGTTTGGCTTCTCAAAGTGATCCCCCAAATGGTTGGCTTCCTCTTGGGAACCCCTTTCAATACCAACCCCTTTGGCAGTTCCAATGTCCATTTTGAGAAATCGGTTTTCCTTCTGGTTTCCCTTTTAACCAACTATAAACACGGTACCCTCAACCAACGCACCAACCGGAATAGTTTTGCTTGGGTCCCCTTGGGCCCAGGCAACTACTACCACTTCACCACCGTTGCCTTGGCTCGGATCGTGGCATTGCTGCCCCAGCTCAGAGCGGATAAGTCCATCACAGTGCTGATCCCGCATCCCAACAAGATCCTCAGCCGGACTCATCTGCCTATTTTTTGGTGACACGGTTAAAGCGAGCTCACTGTGATGAAGGTTCCTTTGGGGATCAGGTTGTTGCCACCAGCCCACAAACAACCCATCGACCAGGTTTTGGAAAGAGCGATACTAACCCCGTGATGAGGCTGGCTTGCATGGGAGCACTTTTGTTTGGGTGTGGTATTCACTTGCAGCGGCACCTAAATTCCAGTTACCTGATGGAACTGACTGACATCAAGGTAGGCAGAGAAAGCCGGCCTTGGGATTGTCGCTTGTATGTGTCGCGCGGGTTCAAGTTTCTGGTTGCGAGACCTAAAGATTTGAGCAAATGGAACGGACAAACCACCAAAGTTTGAGCAACTGATGCTCATGCAACATTGGTTTGTTCCAGGGTTCCTTGGACCCACGTACATGGAAGCTGCATGAAGCTGGGTTTGGTTTGCATTCAACTGCCTGGCTGTTGCTTTTCTAGGATGCCATAGCTTGTTCTTCCGCAGTTATTTTCCATCTGAATGAGCGCTAAACACACCCACTATTTGAACTCAGGGTTTGCGTCGGTTTACCCTTCCTCAAACTAAGATGGCACCTGGGGGAGGGTACCTGGAAGATCAGTTTCCTCTTGGGGGTACCTGGTTTCCTGACCATTTCCCTGTCAGCTGCCATGGCAACGTGGGAGATATGGCAACTCTTGGCCTCTGATTTATCGACTGGCCTTTCCCAGGGCTCGACCGCTTGAGCATTTTTTTTGTTCGGGGGGTGCATGGCCTCAGGAAAGGGCAGCGTTCTCCGTACATGCGGGAGAGCCTACGCCTTCTAGGCCAGGTCAAATTCACTCGAGCCTCTCGGGTGCTTTATTGTATGCCATTGGATCTTGGGCAAAGTGGAGTTCATAGTGCCCTCCTATGAACTCCACTTTGCCCAAGATCCCATGGCAACCTCACGTTCGGGACCCGGTCCCTTTAAAAGGAAAATGGTCCAAACCAGGGCCCCGCACGTCAGGTTCCATGTGAATTGGTGGGAATATATCGGTACGTATGTGTCAAAAGCGAACTGCGACAATGAATCTTAGTCAGGTTGGTGTCCCTTTCAACGAAGCTGAAACATGGCACGCGTTGGTGACCCCTCTCAGGAAGTATATCGCTGTGATGCTTGGAAGTGCTTGAGATGGAATGAAAAGGCAGACTGCACACTATGCATCAACTGCGGCCATGCAGTTATTCACAAAGCAGAACACCCTTGGCGCTGACGTCGAGGTTACATTCAAAGCTCTGCCCGTGTTTCCTCTCATGCATGTTTATCTACTTGACCATGTTGCAACAAATGTTTTGACTCCCAGGACCCCCCAACTGGTTTATGCGACTGTGGACGGACGAAATCCGTGTGCACTACTTTGAATCCCTGGTTGAAGCCATTGTTTGCTTGATATTTTCGTTGGGGAGTCATCAGAACCCAGAGTTTCTGAACGGTGGTGCGAGAAGCGGATTTCGCGTCCATAGCTTTTGCCCTTTCTCTAATTTGGTTAAGACGGACAAGGGAAACAAAAGGACAACTGCCGTTTTTGTCGGTGTCACCCTATTCTTTGTTAATGTTAGACCCCATGTTAATCAACCTCAGTTTATTCCCAGGTAAAATGTGGGGAATCAGACCACTTTTGGAGGGCCCCCCACCCCCCTATGAATAAACAGGTTGGTTGACTAATCCTAAACCAACCCTGAACCAACCTAAACCAACCCGAAACTATATGCTCTAAACGCGTGAGCATTGGGCTTGTTTTGCTTGACTTCAACAACTTTCCCCCACCAAAACCAATGAACATGAAGTCAACATGAAGTCAGCAAGCCAAGCAACACCAAACCAAACCAAAGCCAATGAACATGGCCACATTCCCCAAGCAAAACCCCAGACGCGAACATGTCTCCAACAGCCCCCCGCTCGAAACGTGACCCGGCCCCAGGCCTGGAGGATCAGGCGGGAGAAATTCGGAGAAATTTCGGAATCCGAGCGCTGGGGTCGACAAGGATCAGTGGCGGTGAAGCCCGAAAAGGAAGTGGGGCAAGCAACATGCGCCGGTTGTTTTTTGGTTCTTGTTTTTCTTTTTTCTTTTTGGGGGGGGAGTTGACACTGGAGTTGACATGCCGGGTTGGAAAAATCACGAGGGCCGCTGGCACCGCGTTTTTGTTGTGGGGCGACCCTATTTTGACATCATTTAGCTTTCGTGCCAAGGGGCTCAATGCGTGAGCCGGTGATCTAAGGGCCGGGACGTCTTGCCAGGGTTGCATGGCCATTTACCCCATTGTGGGACGTGGGGTGGCAAGGCCACGTTCGGCAAGTGGGCCGTCTCTAAAGCGGCAACTTGTTGATCCGCGCGATTGGTGAAACTCAAGGCGCGAAAGGCCGGCGATTGGACCGCGCGCAAGGGCAACGCAAGTATCTTTAATTTTGACGGTTCATAGTGTCTAGATCGTGGTGCCGACGCACGTCTCGCTCTTTTTGACTGCACCTGGAGCCCTGAACGTTGATTTCGGAACCTTGAAACGAGAAAGAAGCGGCCTGGAACCCTTGTTGATGTCTGGCGCCAGAAGCTCCTGGAACCCTGAATAAAACCAGAACCTAGATAGCCAAGTTGCCGCTTTTTTCAGTCACTGTTGAAAAAGCAGCAACTGGCGATCCAGGAAGCTGCTTTCACCCGCCACGTTTCAGGTGATGGACTTCCCCCCGTGCCGCCTGGTCTTCGCCGAGGAGTTGCTGGTGGCGGGGCTGGGCCCAAGGACCGCCTTCGGCCGCGACCGCCTGGGCCGCGCGCGGGCGCCTCGGGTCGCACGGGCCAACAGCCACGCGGGGAACGGGGTCCGGGCCCTCGGTTCCCGTTGGCAAACTTTTTTGGGGGAGGGTTCCCCTACTAAAGTAAACTACAGAAAAAAGGTTGGTACCCTGGTTCGAACCTCGCTACTGGAGGACCTAGGGATCGTTGGTTCCAGGGTTGCGCCAAATGCACCGCTTCAAGGGGCCAGGCTACGGTGGATGCCCGAAGTATTGCAGGGATCTCTGGCAAAAGCTTGGGTATGGTCAAGATTGCACCACCAGGATACATTGTCTCCAGTTAGCAGGGCAAGCCATTTTGGGCACCTTGTTTTGACCGGGCAGGGTACTGGTAGAGGGTACTTCGTGATCCCACTTAATTGCCATGGTTGTTAGTCCCCCAAGGATATTGCCATGGCTACCACTTACTTATGGGCCGTGGGTGTCGTGGTTTTCCTTGAGGTTTCCCTTTCAGCTTCACATAACATGAGTGAAACACGTCTCGTTAGAAGTCGGGAGTTCCTGCACATGGGCAGAGTTGGCATGCAGTTTTCGGGTTGTTTCAACTGAAGCCAGCATTATGATTATGTTGTTTGACAGATTTTGACACATATCCAACTTCCTGTTCGAACATGTTGGATATTCCATTGTTTGAACAACCTTATTGTTTTGGTGCGCTCTGGTTGGCTTCTGGACGGATGGGGAAAATTCGGTGCTTTAGGTTGCCACTTGCTGATAGCTAGGGTTAGTATGTGTATTTCCGAATAGGAGCCTATTCGCGACGTATCTTTTGGTGGGTGAATGTTAAGGGAGCTAAAGTCAAAGTGTTATAAGTTGTAAGCCATTTATTTGTATCCCTAAGTGGTTGGATCTTCGGATTTTAACCTGTTGATTAAAGCAGTTCCGCATTGGATCCACAAAAAATGAGAAGCTTGTTGCAGAGGAGTCGTTGCAACAACCACGTTGTGCAGTTTTTTTTTTTTTGTTTTTTTTTTTTTTTTAACATTGGACTTTGGTGCATTTTGCCAAGGGATGTTAGGACTTTAATCTTTTGTCACCTAATGAAACGGTTTTCGTATTAAACCACTAAAGTTATTCACTTTTATCCGGGCAGCATATTTCGCAACCGAGTAAATTTGGCATGCTAAGAGGGATCGATCCTAGACTTTGGGGGATCCCCTCCAGGTCTTTTAAAAAAGTGTCTTGAAATGGGGGTGTCCTTTTTTGGGGGAACCCGAGTGGAACCCCACCCGAAGCTTCGCCCCAGTGGCCGATTTTTGCAGGCCATCATGGCCGATGTGGCGGATGAGGGCCCCACGCGCGCGGTGCGGCATGCTGTGCTCGCAGCCCTGAGGCGCGGCAAAAAATGGAAAAGTGGGTGTGGTCAAATTTAAACCACTAGGGCACTGCAGGTTTTAGTCCATGTTTCCATTTACTAAGGTCCCATGTTGGGTACCAATGTTTGACCCACAGCCAAGTAACGGAAGGAACGCAAAACTTCCAGTTGCTTAAGAAAATGTTGTTTTTTTGCTCTCTTACTTTCAACAGGATTCTACCACTACTGGATATTTTCAATTGTTTCCAGCATGCAAATGGAGGAAAAGGCCGGTCCGACTCCCAACAGGAGGTTCCTCTGCAAATGTTTTGTTTTGTTTCCTTCCGTTGAAATTGAGGCTCGGAATTTGGAGGGCCTTCAATATAGTGGTCCCCAAGTTTTTGCCATTACAGGGGGGTTGTGAAGGGTACTCCATATCAGGATACCGAAGTTAGCATCGATCCACATGGAACCCCATCTCCCCTCTCCCCAAAAGAATCGGTCAAAATTAATGCAGGATTTAGGCCGTGACATTTACTAAGGCAACCCATTTTGGGGGTTATCCGACTTTTGACTTGGAGCCATCTGTTCTACTGAAGGTTGTTGAATGCCCAATCAATCTGTAGAAAAGAATAGCTCATGGGTTCCCTAATTTCCAGTCTGGCAATACGGCAATAGCCACAAATGGTTGCACCCTGACTCCAGGTCCAATGTTGAAATCAAGGGTATGGCACCAACTTGAGGTTGGGTCAAAGCAGGGGCATGGAAAAAGAAACAAAAAAGCTCCAAAACTACCAAAAAAAAACAACTACAAAATGCCACCCTTGCCGTTTTCTTGGGGGATTTGATTTGTGGGGTCGCCTCATGTTAGGACGGTCCCCAGAACTGGCCATGTTTGGAAGTGCAAGCTGCAGGTGCCCTTTTGGGGGTTGGCTTGAAAGGGAGTCCAAGGGAAACCAAGCGGAGGAGGTGCGTTTTTGCATCTTGGGCTGCGACATGATATCGAAGACATTGTGCCGGTTCCCCTTGTTTGAGACACCCAAATACGTTGGCCCCTCTTGGGTGTTTCAAAGAGCGCCGCCCCCCACTTTGGGTTGCACCTGGGGCTCTGGCGACTCCAGTTTATGGGCGATTTGCCAAGGCCTGCAGGACGGCTGCATTTGACCATAGCCTACCTGCGCAAGTTGTAACCCGATGTATTCTCTCGTTAAGCCAGGTGCTAGAGAATTGGGATGACCACCCTAACTTAGTAAGTGGCGCTCAGGGATTTTTCTTTTAGCACAACATCGCCTTCTTTGGGGGACTGCGCACTTCGGGCGACCGGTCGGAGTCCTGTCGAAAAAGAAGCATTACAGAATAGCTCAGGATTGAGGTGGAAGGAAAAGACCAGTGTTTTAGTCTTGTTGTTTCGGAAGCCTAGTTTTGTGAATGTAAATACATGTTTTTTTTGGTCAAGGGTTGACATCGCAGCCCCAAACAAGTATGTAATGGGGTCTGTCTCAGAATAGGAGGTACACCCAAAAATGTGGTTCTCCTCTTGCTCTGCCGTTAAGCAAGCAAGCCATTCGGAGTAGGGCATTGCGGGAAGCCGAGTTTCATGCCATTTGCCGTGCCAACGCAATCCCCTCAATTCAAAGTCTCGCACAGCGAGTACCCGCTTTTGCTCGGCGGGTTCGCGTGATTGGGGCTGCGAGGCCTCCGCTTTTCAGATTCGCAGGCCGCCGCCAGCCAGGGAATCTGTGCTTCTCATCGACCGGCACGAGCGGCGGCGGATGGCAAACCTGGCAGAGGCATCTCGGCGCAAATTTCGGGTACGTAACCGTGGTCGATGATTCAATCGCAAGGGGGGGGGGGGGCACGGGGCAACTTACGAAATGTCGCACAACAAAGGGGACTTACGGGGTGTTGGGATTTGTTCCGGAGGTAGCTTGAAACTTGGACTCAAGAACCTGGGGTTGAAATGTTCACTTCCCACCAGTCCAAACAACCAATTAAGGGGAACTTGAAGGGATCTGGCAAATCGAGGCAAAAACCGTCTGAAACGAAAGGGAGGAGAAGCAAAGACGCTACCTTGGGGGAACAAAAGAAGATCCAACAGGGGAGGTTCACCCCTTGGAGTGCAAATGGGAGCTTTACTTGGGGTGTCGACCCTTAGTGGGGCCAGCCTCCAGAAATCGAGGAGCGATGGGACCCAAATCAGGCTCAGACTGGGCTCCAGTGACAACTCGCGACCGACCTCGAAGGTTCCTTCTATTTGGCCAGGTGCCTCTTTTCTTAAAGTTCCCTTTTCAACCTCGACCAAAAAGGATGCCCTATTTTCCTTGGCTCCCAGCCATCTAGTGTTTTGTGGTAGTCTCCATTTAACCCACGAAAGTTGAACTTCTAGCGGGGGATCTGAGGGCAGCCCAGTTTCCTTGGAAATCCACGGGGCATTTGAGTCAGGGGACCATAGGGGACCCTAAACTTACAGGTGCTGGACGCTCTGGGGAAGCTGCCGAGCGGCCACACTGCACGGCTCATCTACTGCGAAGATCTCAGCTTCGTGGAGTAGCCTTGCCAGCACAAGGCGCTTGGTTTTGATTCTGTGAAGTAGTCTAGGTCCCCCAGTAGTGCCCTTTTACCCCTTTTTTGGAGGAGGGTTCCCCTACTAAAATAGACTACAGAAAAAGGGTGTTGGTTCACTTGTGGTTGCGAGTGCTTGTTGTGAAGATGCCTGTGTTTGTCATTGCTTTGCTTGTGGGTGGTTACTCCGAAGTACAAGCTGCCTTTCAAGATACAAGCAAGCGCAGTTCCGTTGTTTCCCTTTGCCAATTTTGTGCCTCGAACGTGTCCTTGCAGCACACCTCTTGCGCAATCCATGATTGCATTTTTGCGGGGTTTCCTTCCCACGGCCATAAAACTGGGTATGGGAGCGACATGCAGAAGGTTGGTGAGTAGCTGGCGCATCTCTATGGTGTTTGTTTCTGTGCTAAGTTGTTGGGGATCCCCCAACCCATTGAACTATGCGAATTGCAACTAAGCAGCTAGCGCATGAAATATCTATGGGGTATGCTACCCCTTCCCAGTTGCCCGCCCTTTTGCTTGTTTTTTGTTGGGGTTCCTTTTTTCAACAACTTTCGCCCAACAGGGCAAGTGCAGTAGACCGTAAACAGACCTCGCGTAGTGGCAAATTTGCTGTTCTAACCTTTCCCATATCTTGTTTTTAGGGCAATGAAGTGACAATTTGTAGATTGTAAACCCTCATTCCCTGGCATTTGGTGACGTTTTGTGAGGGTCATACTTGTTTTTCAGGAGGTGACTTGTGGGTCGCCGATGCGATTTTGGGTGAAGCAAACAAACACTCTCGCCCCGGAAAGTTTGGTGACGTTGTGTGACGGTTTAATGTTGACCCCGGAATAATAAACCCTTCTGTGTTAATATGGGGGTGTCCCTCAGTATTCGCGAGGATTCAGACCACTGTTGGAGGGGCCAAGAACCACCCCCATATCAATCAGGGGTGTATGAATCCGGGGTATACCCTTTTCCCGGTTCCAGGTGCGTCGCCCTTCGGATTCGCCCCCGGGTCTCGCCACCTCCGGGGCTTCCCCACCCTTCCGCGGCCGCTCGCTGAGGCAGGTGTCGGCCTTCCAAGGCGCCCAAGGGGCGGTGGCGGTGAGCGGGGCCTGCCTGGCCAATAGCCTCTACATGCCTCAGGACATCGTTGCTTCCATTTGCTCAAGATGTTTTGCCCCCCCACCGGCCCCCGTCGATTTTAAAGGGAATCTGTCAACTTGCTCAAGATGTCTTCCCCCCCCCGTTGTTTTTAAAGGGACTATCCGTCAATTTGCTCAAGGTGTGAGTTTTTGTTCATTTTCCCCTGGTGATTTTGAAGGGAATCGAAGTCGCTGCTGGAAATATGTTTGCTTTTCCAACTTGCTTCAGTGGTTCCCCCCCTCCCCCCGTTGATTTTAAAGGGAATCTATCACTAGAAAATTACGTTTGACAGCAACAGACATAGATATGTTTTGACACGCGACGTCCATGTGCTGTTGATTTTAAGCAAATGGAGGTTTGGGCGCGTCTTTCTTGAGTTGCCAGCGTTGTTTTTGTGGTTTCTGTTGGGACGCCAACAGGGAAGTGGCGGCTTCCCGCCAGTTTGTGGGGGTTCCCGCAAAGGATGTGACACCCATGTCCCAAATTGATGTGCCTTGATACCTTAAGCCTTGGTTAGAAAATATACGGATGGGCTCTGGGAAGCCCATCTGTTTTTCCCAAAGGCCCCGAGCAATTCCGCACCCCCGTCAAAAATGGAAGTGCTGCAAATGGACGCAATCCTGCACCACCTAAGAAACCCGGGCATGATGATTCGTTTCAATATGCAAACGAACAATGGTTTTCCATGGTTTCCAAGTGGTGCAGGATTTCGTCCATCCAAGGGGGGGTGGTTCCATTTTCCCTATCAATAAATCTATCGACAAAGTTGGGTCCCATGCATTTGTGGCCACGGTTCAGGTATGGGATCAACACAGGGAACCATACCAAACATCGGGATTTAGTGGTGGACGTCATATCTTGTTGGTGGTTCTCCTCAATAGTCACCCCAGGTTCATTGGACCTTTTGACCAACACGCATGTCTGATACGTATGAAAATGTTTACTCATAAATAGTCTCACATAGCGTCCCTTTGATTTGTATGTAGTCTCACATAGCGTCCCTTTGATTTATAAGCGGTGTCACATAGTTTCCCTTTGATTTATAAGCGGTGTCACATATATTCTCCTTGAGTTAAAAATAGCCTCTTGTAGTTTCCAAATAGTCTTTTGTAGTTTCCCTTTGATTTGTATGTAGTCTCACAAAGCTTCTTTGTTATTTATAAATAGTGCTACATAGCTTATCTGTGACTCATAAATGATATCATAGCTTCTCTTTCATGTAGAAATAGTCTCAAATAGTTTGTCTTTTATTTTTAAATAGTCTCACGTAGTTTGTCTTTTATTTACAAAGAGTTTAAAATAGCTTCTCGATCATTTATAAATAGTGTCAAATAGCTTCTCGATTATTTATAAATAGTCTCAAATAGCTTCTCGATTATTTATAAATAGTCTCAAATAGTCCCTGCCCTTGCCCCCGTGCCAACAGATAAACAGGCCGACGTAAGTCCCAATGCATATATATGTATATATGTGATATTCGTACACATATATATATATATATATATATGCCGCCTAGGGTTTTCGCCGAAAAACGGCGTGGTCAGATTAGGAGTCCTTGGTTCTGGACCTTGTCACGGAGAAGAACTACATGGGAGCAGATGTGGTGATGCCTTTGCCGCGTGACCGCTAATGTCCGCTCCGAAAGGACACGAAACGAAGACCCAAGAAAGCAAGTCGTCCATTTACTGAAATTAATATGTTGTTATTTTGAAGCCGGTTGGGTTCAAAAGGAATCGATTTCACTACTGGACATATGGATGTGTATACCTATCTGCACATGGAGGCCAAGCGGATGGTTTTGGGAGCAGTTTTGGAGGCACCCGCTCTTGTTACCAAGAAGCCGGGGGGGGGAGGGGCGAGGAGATGACGTGAAGCATGCGGCGAGGCGTTTCCGTCTCTTTTTCAGGACTTGTTTGCGCCAAGGACGAAAGCCTTTGTTTGCCTGATTTTTGGAGGATCCCTCCGGAAAGCAGGTTGGTGTCTGGATGGAATCCTGTATACGGTGTAAGAGGTTGGATTCTTTCGGCGAGAAGCCAGAACTGCGAACGCACCAGCCTTGCTGGTGCATGGTGGCCTTGAAGGTCCTCCTTTTTATGAAGACCCCAACCCGTTTATTCGGATCTCCCCCACTTTGACCTTTGGTTTGTGGGTCCAACAAATCGGGTTGGGGTTCGAAAACGGGCTGTGCAAGTTTGCTTTGATTTGGCGCCTGAGAGACGGCTGGCATGTGTTCGATGGCTTTTTCATGGATTGATTCAACTGGCACTTGTCACCCTGTGCTTCACAGTTCTTTTTGAATGCGGCCTCGTGCTTACGCTCCCAAAAGCAGGGGACCCCAAACCATTGCTGGGATGATTTCCCTTTAGATCCTATCTAGGTCCCCCAGTGCCCTTTTACCATTTCTTTGTTGCGGGAGGGCAAGCCCCTACTAAAATATGTTCAGCAAAAAAAATCGGGTACCCTTATTCTATCCTCTTTTGCTGGAGGACCTAGGTAAGTTGGCTTTTAGAAAGTTGCCGTGACAAGAAACACCAAGGCTTCCCTGACGCACAGCGGCCACTCCCTTCCCAAACTTCTCTACTGGATCGATCCGCTTCGAGCCGTTGGCTCTTTTTGCAGCGGCACCGGTCGATTGGGAGTGGCGGAACCGCCCCAAAAAATCTGGCCCAGTGGTTCCAGTCAACTATAGCCCCGTTGCCCAGTGGATTCCGCTTGTTTTTTTCTCCGACGTTTCTGGGGTAAGGGTTCTTTCTTACACTCCACCAACCAAGAAAAGGTGTCCCTTTTTTCCCCATGGAAATCCACTGGGCATCTGAGGTAGGTAACCAGGCATGTTGACCTCAAGGTTTTCTATGATGGCTCTTTTAGACTACTGGAAGCAGGGGGGGTTGGGGTGCAGTCGAGTCAGCTGTCACCTAGGGACTGCGGCATCACCTGGTTCTGGACGCTGACGCTGAATGCAACTGATCTGCAAGGATTCCACCGAGGTGTTTTGTTTTCCATGTGCTGATTTAGATGCGGAACATTGCGGAACCAATATGGATATCTGCCAAACTAGGGAACACCCGCCAACAAAAACCAATGAATGAATAATTGCCGATATGAATAATGAGCCACCCCAAGCATCAGAAAGAACCCATTGGAGTCTGGATGTCCATAAAGGTTTGGATCTCACAAGGAGTCTTGTTGGAGGCTCCAAGATTCTAAGGGCAAGAAAAAGGCGAAGAAACGGGTTTTGTGGTTCCTTTTGGTTCACAAATTGATGGTTTGGAACCAGCTTGAATCAATCACTCCACGGCTCATCTGTGGCATCCTGGAGTACGCCACTCCCCAAACAAGCACACACACACACACCATGGTTGAAGACTAACATCCACCAATGTTAGAGTTTCTCTCTTCCTTTTTGTTTAAAGGTTTGTTTGTTTGTGGTTGCATTTGTTTATGACGTTTGTGGGTTGGGTTCTCAACCACCTCCAAAACATGGGCCCGGGAGGCCGGGAGGTGGGACGCGGTTTGTCTCAGGTGAAGGTGCGGTACCGGAGTTTGATCCTGCCTGAGGGGGATCTGGATGCGGACACGGTCGAGGTGCCAGCCGCTTGGGCCTCCATTGAAAAAGAGGGTGCCATATGTGTTGGTTTCATTGTTCCAAGAAAATTGTCAATAGTTGAATTGGCATTGGAGTATGTGAGTGCGAGATTCTAATTGTTCATGGGCACATAGAATATTTTCGTGGGGCGTGCAATCTTACATATTCAGGATGCAGGATCATCTTGGCACACCCAAAAGTCAAATGGTTGCGGGCGCTGCTTTTTTTTTCTTTCCGTGGCAGTGAGTACCGTGATGTTGCAAGCCTCTCTCCTCTCTCAGACCATCAACGGATAAGGTCACGACGTTACGGATGTTTAATCATTGTTCGAACCTCAGGCAAGCAGAGTGTCACAACAGATCCATGGATACAGGGGTGTACTCGTGTGCTCCTTTGCTAGCACCCTGCCTCCTTTGGTGATGCAAAAGGCTAAAATGTTTGGCCCCTCAAAACGCGACAGCTTGTAGATTTTTCTGAGGAAATATGCCGCACTAGTCGCCAACTCTTGGGCAACCAACCAATGAATCAAGTGCAACACCAAGACTTGGACCTCTCGGCTGAGGCTGACATGGTGCGTGACATCTTGGTCAAAGACTTGGCCCCCCACCCAGCGGCCGCTGACGGAGCCTGCGAGAAGCTGCACTGCGAGCCTTTGGCGCCGGTGTCGGCGATGTGCGCGGCGGTGGATGCTCGACCAAAGAGGGTCATGCGACGTCGCGAAAAACCTGGGTCGGACTGGGACCCGGTTCAGATGGAAGGTTGTGCAATCCTGCACCAAGAAACTCTGGAATGATTTTGCTGAGAATACCAAGCAAGCCAATGGTTTCGCATTGCTTCAAGTGCAGAATTTTGTCCAGGGCCCAGTCCATTGGTTTGGGACTGGGGTTCATGGCGATGCGGACCGGTCGGGAGTTGACCTATCCGATCAATGGTCGGGTGAACGACCAACAGGAGGCAATTTGTTTCCTGGAACGTGAGCTTGCCCGGCAGACGTTCTCCTTCCTGCATTAAGAACGGAAGCTCAAATTTTGAGACTCCGAGTGACAACAATTTCAGCGCCACCAGGACAAAGCTTGAAGGGAACCAAATCGAATTGAACCAATCCAAATAAAGACATATTTCAATATATGTTCCAAAAGCCCTTTAGGTGTTGTTTTCCTCAAAGACGATGGTGATTGTCTAATTTTCTAGACACTTCATCAGGGTTGCTACAAACAGTCAACCGTGTGTCTTGTTATTTCCCCTTGCCAGGAACCAATCCTGAGAGCAACCTTGTGTGTTTCATGTTGCCCCCTGACTTGGTGGTTGAGGTTGGTGGTGGGACTTGCACCCTTGGTTCTCGAGGGTAACTGGGATCCAAATCGCCAATCCAAACCAATCCAGCAGCACCCAACAGTCCCACTTGCCATTTTGGTAGGTGGTTCTGAGCCGCTTTAAACAAGGATTGTGGTAACGCGACACAAACAAGAAACCTTTCAGACCATGCCAGAGCCAAAAGATGGGTGAACTGGGCGCGGCTGAATTTGAGGGAAGCGGCATTCGAGTGCAGGCGAACGGTGATTCGGCTCAGCTCTGCTTCGATGACTTGGTGGCAGGGCGCACCACTGCTGCCCTGCAGTGCATGCAGGCGGCTTGGATGTCGGCTTTGCTATGGTTTTATCCACAAAATGCAAGTCTCGGCCCGAGCACCTCTCAGACGGTGAGACCGGTCTGACAGCAGAGCCTCGGGACACCTGCCATGGATTTGCTCCTGGCCGACCAGCAGGAAGGCACCATCGTCAGCATCGTGGCCAAGGTCTCTCTTGGGTGCGATGAGCATGGCAGAGCTCTGCTCATGGGGGTGTCGCCGCAGCAGGACTTCCTCCTCAACCTGCCTTGCAAGGCAGATCAGCTGGTTGCGATCTACGATGCGAAGGTCTCCTTCGCGGCCTCTTCGCAGCCACTCCTGCAGGTGGACAGCTATGACAACGTGGTTGTTTGCCCCACGCACACCCGGGAGGCCGTCTTTGGGGGCGCAGCACGCCGGCATGCGCCCACTTGCACACCTTGACCACTCACAGCTTGCAGTTGATGCACTCCGGCTACAGGGACACAGCAATGTCGTGCTCGGCGATGTCGCCAATCCCAGCATGGTTCACAAGCTCCACAGCTGCGCTGGAGGGACACCCTGTCTCTTAGCGGCAGGCTTTCCGTGCCAGCCATACTCTTGCCAAGGAGATGGCTTAGGCCTTGCCGATCTGCGCGGCAAAACCCTGCATGCTATACTTCGATGTGGATGGCTGATGCAAAGTGCTGGCATCATCCTTGAGTGCGTTGCCAATATCATCAACTACCCGGAGGCGCTCAACCTTATACAGGCTTATGCTCGCAGCAGGGGTTGGCGCATGCACACCACCATCCTGGACCTACAGGACCAATGGGCCAGCAGACGCAAGCGTTGGTGGTGTGTTCTTTTACCTCACCATCAAGCTGCCACTTTCGCATTGACGGCCTGGCCAAAATCCACCAGCTACAGCACGGTCCATGACGTCATTCCGGAGTGGCCTGCCTGGCCAACAACTGAAGAAGAAAACCTGCTGTGGGACTCCAATGAGTGCACAAAGTACCAGGACCCCATCTATGGCACGGACAATCGTGGACTCGACCTACGAGCTCCTGCTCCCACTGCACTGCACTCCTGGGGCTCTGCCTTAAGAGCCTGCCCTTGCGGATGCCGCAAGCATCCACTGTCGGAGCATCGACTCGTGCAGCATGGACTTCGTGGATTTTCAGTCCCGTCCACGCTGCAGGGCCAACCTAGGTTCATACACCCCAAAGAAGCAGGCCTGCTCAACACTTGGCCAGCTTCGATTCCGCTCCCATCACCGGCCAGAGGAGCTCTTGTCCTTATCGGACAAATTGCGGCGCCTTTGCAGGCAGTGTGGGTCTTCTCACACATCACCAACTGGATCGCCGAACTCCACATCGGTCATGCCCCACGCTCTCCAATCAACTTTGTCCAGGAGTATCAGACCAAGCTCCTTGTCGACCGGGATCTGATTTTTGCAACTCGGCACCACTTCTGCCCACGCACCATCAGGCTTCGCCAGCACAACGAACCAGATGTCCACATCAACCTCAACCAACCTACTACCATCAGACAACTACAGCAAGCCGAGACCAAGCTGCAAGGCTGGGCAGCCACGGTCCACATCGGACACAAAGGCCTCAAGCGAGCACCGGATGAGCTACTGCTCGCAACACCGCACGACACCTACCAAGTTCATCGCTCCCAGAAGAAGCAAGCACTCAATCCGCCCACAGGGACCATCAGTGTCCAGCTCCTGCACGCGGCCGGCCGCGAAACCTACTACCTGAGCTCAGGTCTTCTCTTCGCAGAGGCCATCTGCTATTTTCCAGAGCACCTCAGCGGGGATTACATCAACCAGGACAATGGAGCCTTCCTCACACTTGATGAGCGGCTCTGGAACAACGCAGTCATCCTGCACTGCGGCAATCTGCGAGCCTGTGGCACTCCTGCCACCATCTGCTGGAGCGACACAGCAGTCATCCACAACATTGGCCAACTCCTCAAGTTTGTGGCCTCCATCGATCCCGAGCCTTGGGGGATCATTCTCCCAGTTGCTGCAGCAGATCTACTACGACCCGACCCTTCACCACACCATGTGTGTGCGCTCGGAAAGTCCCTACGGCAGTACCACCGACTTGTCACTGTTTTTCCCCACAACCAACACTGGACGCTGCTCACCTTGCAGCTTGGTGAGGAGGGCTCAGCTGAAATCACTTGCTGGGACGGCCTGCCACACCTCAACCACAACGCTGCCGACATCCTCGCCACTCGGATCTGCCACCTCATGCACTGCAATCACCAAGGTGTTGTCCACCGCAACCACTTTCAGCAGGCTGCCCCAGGGACCTGCGGTGCCATTGCTCTTGCCCATTTCGGTATAGCAGCAGATCTCTGGGATACCATTACCCATGAGAGCATCTACAATTGGCATCTTGCCTACGGCACCACCACCCATAACCCTGATGAGCTTTTTGCAGGCGGCTTCCCAACTGAGCAAATCACCCACGACCTGACACAGTTGTTGCTCACCAAGGGGGTTCCCCCCGAGGCTGTGCAAGACCGCGCAAGCCAGGCCATCGCCAAACTCAGCGCCACTACGGTGCAAGAAGCACTCGAATCCCGCAACCCCTGGCAATCCCTGAAGGCCGCTGCCTCTCGACCGGCCACACGCTTCAGATGGATTTCCACCGATGAGCTCAACAACCACATTGCCACACAAGCCCAACGAGAACACGGCGCCTTCATCCCGAACGCCAAGCAGAAAAAGCTCAAATCCGACAAAAAAGCGCGACACCAATCGGAGCTTCAGATTAGCCCTGAGCACCTTGTCATCCCAACCGGCACTTTTGTCGACGACCAGGACGAACCCCTGCAACAGATCCCAGCTTCGGAGGTCGGTGCCAACCGCAGGGGCATTGCCATCGTCCCGGCCACTGAAGCCAACAGGTTCCTGGCTGATGGAATTTCCATCTCAATCGACGCCCTTGCACTCCTCACAACTGCCGAGCTCCCTGTCAACCTTGCGGGGCTCACTACTGAGGCTGTTCGCTTCCCTGCCCTGTACACCGGCACGGATGAGCCGGTTTTGCTCACGGGGACTCTGATTCAACTCGGCGATGTTTCAGTCAAGCGCATTCAGCCAGCCAACCAACCCCTTGAAGATGAGCCTGACCTATGCATCTTTCGCATCAGCGTCTTCAAGGACGAGCTACCCCACGACTGGCCTGACTTCATCAAAGCTCCCTTGCGAAACGTCATCAGAGCCACAACCTGCCTGCAACTTTGCCAAGACGATGCCTGCGGGCAAAAATGCGGCAAGTTCCACCCTTCTCTTGAGGAAGCTGTCTCAGCCGTCATCCTTGATGCCTGGGCCTGGAGATACTCCAGCCTTGCTGGTCAGAAAGTGACCCCGGCCGACAGCACGGTCTTCCAAGTTCTGGTGAGGGTGCCGCTCTCCGCTGGCAGCCACCTACACATCGCCTCTGGCTCCAATGGGATCTACTTCGACCCACGCTCCACAGATGGCCGGGCTGTCGACGCTACCTTCTCCGTTGTGTGGCTACCAGCCGCCACAGGCCCTGAGGCACGCCATAAAGCTCGAACCTGTGATTTCACCGTCAGCCTTACACGCCTCAACACCAAATTTGGCATTCGTGTCAAAGCCACCAACGAGGCAGCTGCTCACTCCTTCCTTCGCCTGGGACTGCCTTTTGTCAACATCAAAGTCTCCTGCATCTATCGCAGCTTTCCTCTGCCCCATGGAATCCAGCGATCAGCAGTGCAACAACTTCTCACTGGATGGGAATGGACTGCCCGTCCCATGCAGGCATCGCGCGGTAGCGCAGAAGGAGCAGCTTGGGAAGTTGGTGCTTCCGAACCGCCAAAGAAAGCCATCCAGCCTGGGCCACATGGCGAAGTCATCATCACCAAGGTGCGTGATATCGGACAGCGCGAACCACCAGCCTCAGGCTTCACTGCCTCAGGCAAGACTATCCGCCACATCAGGGCTGCATCCACCACCACCACCACTGCAACGACCAGCGCCAAAAGCAGAGCCGATCCGTGGCAGAATGGCACTGATCCTTGGGCCCGCTGGCACAACTCTTCCAGCTCTGATGTCGACATGCCTGTCACGTCCACACCGGCCCCGGCCACTGCCAAGAAGCTCGACCAGCTTGGCGAACAACTACGGACTGATGTTCGCCAATCAGTCCTAGCCGAGCTTGCCAGCTCCTCTGATACTCAGTCAAACCAGCTTGCAGTCAACGTTCGGGAGCTCCAGGAGCAAGGCCGCAAATTCGAATCCTGGTTCCAGCAAGCCGGCGAAAGCAGCCGCAAGCAAGCTGATGATCTGCAACAACTCCGGGGCATCGTTGTCCAGCAACAGCAAGCCATCTCCGACGTGCAGCAACAAGTTCGAAGCTCATCGGACAGCATGCAGCAGAACTTCCATTCTTTCAAAACTGACATCCACCAACACTTCGACGACCAGTTCTCCCGCCTTGAGGCGTTGCTCGCCAAAAAGGCGCGCACGGAGTGACTACGCCCCCCTGGCTCCCAGCCTCGGCCTGCTGGGAGGCCAAGCCATCGTCTCGGCCGACCGAGCCTACTCTGGCTCATTTGGGCTCTTCTCTTTCATTGCTTTTCTGGCACCTGTGCCGCCTATGACGCTCAGCATGCGCCCTGTGCCCAGCACTTCCTTCTCAGCGCGGGGGTTCCTCATGGAGCCCACTGCGATATTGAGTCCGGGGCAACTGCTCAGCGTCTTGGTGGGACTCCGGCTTTCCCTTCTACCTCCCGGCACCGCGTTGGTGAGGCACTCAATCCAGGGCCTACCTGCCCCGCTCCTCCTGATGACCTCCTGGTTGTGGGTACTACGAACCCATCAGGACTGCGAGGCAAAGAAGCCCACCTCATCGACCACGGCCCCGGAATCTGGCATTTGAGTGAGACACAGCTCTCCCCCATCACTGCCCCTATCTGCAAACGGCGTATTTCCGCCCTTGGAAACCAACATCAGCGGCTCATCCGCTGCACGACGGGCTCACCAGCCCCAC